GAATTATAAGAATTTAATAGTGGTTTCGAAGCAAAGAAATAATAGAAAATAATAGGACCAACGCAACAAGGGTTCTCCAACTCGCTGATACGAATCTGAGAAAGGGGTGAAGGCGTGATATGGCGTAGACGGTATCAAGCACAGGTCGGCGTCGGTCAGGTCGTCATTACGATGAAAGGAAAAGAAAAGAAACTGATGTCGACGAACATACGGGGATGGGAATGGTGGATAAGGCTATGAGAAAGACGAAGAGGGTGGTTCGATCGCGTCCGCGAAACGACTTCGTTTGTCTCGAGCAGCGTGACGGTCTCGTTATCGACGTCCCTTTACGCAGAACTCATTTACTTAATTGCCACGATTATAGCAGTAACGCCAACGTCGTAGAAACCTACTGCTTGGAGTTTCAGCGTGTGGGCGGTACTCGGCCACTTTTCCATCTGCAGACATCTACAGGGTGTCGTGTAACTGATTGTACATACCCTTCAAGAAAGTTATCATTAACTACTTATTAAATAAACTTGTAAAAGTCGCGTTAAAAATGGGCGTTCAAACGAGGATACCCCTCTCCTCCACACCTTAATCTTGCGGGAGAAATCATTTAATTGCCACCCTGTATAAATAAGAAGAAACATGTCTACCTTGAAAAGGTAATATTCGGGAATGTATAGAAGGAGGAAGGAGGCCGACTAGCCGGAGCCTCACGCACCCCTTTACAACGCGACGCCGTGACTGGTGAGCGAAGAATAATCGTTTTCGTTTAAAAGAAAAAGAAGAAAAAGGACACGAGGGTAGAAAACGAATCACGATATACCATTATTCTCGCACGAATCTTTTGTCCGAGCTCTGTGATTGACGCGAACCATTTGAAATTCTGCGTTACAGATAAAAAGAACAAATTCTAGGAAGCATTCAAATCAACCTGTGGATAAAAATTAAACACGAATTCGAACCGTCCGAGAATTGTAACACAGTCCCTTTGCAATATACAGGGTGTTCGACAACAGGTGGGCAAAATTTTAAGGGGTGATTCTAGGGATCAAAATAAGACGAAAATCAAGAATAACGAAATAGCGTTTGCGGCTTTGTTTTCCAGTAATTAACCTTTAAAAGTTCGAGTAAAAAGCGCCTGATACCTGCAATCCGCCCAGCACCGACGACTGAACGTCAGGTCAGCAGGGGAAAGTACAGTCATAACCAAGAATCGTTGAATAGTAGAAGCTTACCTCGTGCTATTCGGTTTCTCGGTACTGCAGCATTCGGCTTTCTCTTCTTGGTTATGACTGTACCTTCCCCTGCTGACCTGACGTTCAGTCGTCGGTGCTGGGCGGATTGCAGGTATCAGGCGCTTTTTACTCGAATTTTCAAACGTTAATTACTGGAAAACAAAGCCGGAAACGCTATTTCGTTATTCCTGATTTTCGTCTTATTTTGATCCCTAGAATCAAACCCCTTAAAATTTTGCTCACCTGTTGACGAACATCCTGTATGTTAATTTAACGCGCAACATTGACAGCACTGTGTCTCGTCGATTTACCGCTTTCATCTTTTTTAAGACATAATTTTAATTGAATAATTTGGTGAATGGTGGCAAACGTAACAGAGCTGAATTCGTCGATATACGTTTCGTATAATTGCACGCGGTGAGCTTTGTGCTTGGAAGTTTGACGAGGAAGGTTTTTCGCGTGAACGCGATCACCGCACCGGGTGAAAACACATTGCGAAATAACCGAATAACGAACGGTACGATAATTAACAAAATACGATGGCGCGGGGCTCATTGTTTTGCCAGGCCATTGTCGGGAAACGCGTGATTCGACTAGCGTAGCTTTGCCAACTGAAATAAAGAAATAATGATTGCGGTTGATTATGGTGGCGCACGCGAGGAAAAATTGCAAATTGCACGTGGAAAAAGTGATCGAAACAGCTGCCATTATTAAAGTTTCGACGTTAACTATGAATTTCTGATAACCATCTATCGTTAGGACGTAATAATCTCTTTGAGCTCGCGAAACGGTTCAATCCTAAATTTGAGGTATATAAAAATAAAACAATGAAACGTTAAATTTAAACTCGATGCAATCTTTTCCCGCAAACAACCTCATATTTCGAAATGGTTTTAACTTTGCAGGAAAAACAAATTGCATCGATTTGCAAAGCAATCGCTGTTAAATAAAAATACAGAAATCAAGAAGAGGATAGGACGAGTAATTAGATATGCTTCGTTACATGGCATCTTTATTACCACAACGTATCGAATTCTCTTAGAGAATATATATACATATATAAAGTAATAAAAAGAGGAATGGTCAATTATCGTAAATGGTATCGTACTTCTTTTTGTATTAAACACAGTTGTGCATGAAAGTGTACGTTAGAAGCGTAAGTAGGCTATCGTGGAAACAGTTCCAATTGCTCTCTCGTTTATTATTCCATTAGGTACCACGATAGTCTTGCCGTTGCAGCGTCAAGTTATGGTAGGTGGAAATTATTTACAGAGCAAATGTATCCCTTAACGTTCGCATATGCAGATTTACTAGAGCTACTTCAGCTCATTATCGCATACGAAATGCGGGACTCGACTGGCTTTGAATAAATAAATGTATTTGGTCAGGACGCTGACCATGGGAACCATCGTTAATAGCTTCTCGATATTTATGGTGCAAACCATACTGCACTTAGGCCATCGTATATCAATTCGTGGAGAATTTCATTGTTCTACGAACGGAGATTGTGAAACATATCCGGATTATCGTCGTCTAGGAACAGACATTTGAAGATGTCGTTGTAGAAAGACGGATAATACTCGCATGCTCTTTTACAGTCGGGTGAAAAATTGAATTCCAGTAGAACTGGTTGCATCATTCCTTCCTTCCATTCGAGCATCAAATCAACCGCGTATACAGCCCTGCTTTGCGGACATTCCGCGATACCTTTCGGTGGTTTTTCCACAACAGCAGCCACGAAAACTTGCCGGAGCATATGCAAGATCCTTGGCTCGACTTGTTCTATCCAGGAGAAGTCTGGATACTGTCTCTCCCATTCCAAGATAAAGTCCGCGCATTTTACGTGACAAAACGGCCTGTCCTCTGAATAATTCATCACCGTGAAATGTTGTTCGTATACGTCGAAATTATTTAAAGCGAATTCCTTGTTCGCAAATCTTAAGAAGAAATTTTTATAAGCGAACGCCCTCAGAGGTTTCACGGATTTCAGCATTACCACGTACCGCACGTCGAACTTAACTTTCCCAATTTCAGGCCTCTCGTACAAAACGGGATCGTTTATGTATTTCTGTGCAATCTTCGGCCCCGTGCTGGGTAATCGTAAAATATGAAATAAATTCTTCGTGACATGGGTGTCCAATCCTCTGGTGAGATTCCAAGGCTTGCAAATCCAATGATTATCGAATCCCATAGATTCTCTATTCTGAAAGTACGCAACAAACTGCACCAGTTCCATGCTTAAATTATAAGTAGTCGGTAACCATTCTGGATAAGTATCGAGAGTTTCAGGATCGTAGGATCTCTCGCCTGCTTTTCTTCTACATACAATCGACAATAAGTCTTTTATGGTCAGAACATTTTCAAATGGAAACTGATTAACAAAAACGTGGGGCGAACGAATGCTGAGTTCCTTGTAATCCTTGAAATGCGAAGTATACCATAAAATATCAGCCTCTTCTTCGTTATTTACGATTTCGAACGCAGGATCGTTTAGATAATCATTTATGTATGTATATTGTGAATAGACCTTTAGTTTTACATTTTTATCTCGTTGAAGAAGTTGTGGATCTATATTTTCTGGTAAACTCTCGCGAATGTGACCCGCTAGGAAATAATTCTCATCTGGCTCTCTCTGTAGAAAACATTCTTCAAGAAATGAAGCATCTACCCATGGTAGTAGTAAAGCTTGCCTTTTCTTTGGATCATGTGTTTGACCCTCTACAAAATCTCTTGTGACTTCATCTTTGCAATCAACATCTTTTATGGGAAATAACAATGTATAAGTAATACCTTCTGGTAAATATAAGAAAGGCACTGTTCTGAAGTTAGGATCATCATTGTGATTTATTGCTGATCCTACTTCATCCATAATATACCATATTGGCATTCTATCTTCTATTGAACCACTATTTAGAGAAAAAGCCTGATTATATCTCCACATTTCATTCAGTACAAATTCTATTTTCTCATCCTCTTCTTCCCCAACGTCAAAGCCCATTAGGGTACACATACGGTCTAACAAACCTGGTATGTTTGATAAATTTTGCCTGGCATTAGTAATATCATAAGTCCATGCATGATCTATCAAATAAATATTATTTGGGTCTTGGGTTGATATGCCCTTCTCACAAGAAACAAACAGTTTCCAGACAGGATCTTTTGGACCTCTGACAGCATCATCATAATCAATTCTTATCAACTGAAAAACCATACCAGAATCAAATGTTTGGTTCTGAAGTTTCTTAAATAAAACTTCCCAGAATATTCTAGGTACACCGGATGATTCCAATTGAGGTTGATGTGTTTGAAGGAATGTATGATACAATCCTACTCCATCCATTGTCCAAAAATTAAATGTAATCTACAACAAATTAATGAAAAAAATAAAAATTGCATTTCATCCTAAAGTTGATGCGTTTAAGATCACATAACTTTAAAATAATTTTGTTACAAATTATTATTATAAGAACAAAGAATATCTATAATAAATTACCTAAATCTGTCCAGCAATTATTATATTGATTTATATAGTATTTCAGCCAGAAATTCAGAAAGATGGAGCAGTGAAATATTGAAACATAACCTCTTCACTCATCGTATAAAAACGTTTATTATAGAATACTTTGGTACATTTGTCATTGAATTTTAGTGTATATCTTTCACTTGTGGCTATTCAATTTGTACGATAACTTTCATTATAACTTGTAATTTTGTTTATAATAATATAATTGCAAGTTTGAGTGATAGGGAAATTTTCAAATAGGGAATTTTGTTTCTCTCGAATAATGGAACATCGCCAAGAAAAGTATAAGGAACAAACAAATGGCCGATGTCGTTCTTCCTGTTGGCGCTTTAAGTATTTTTAGTCTAACCGGCATTTGAACTGGAAACCTTGTTCTTGGCGGCTGATTTACATTAACAAACTGGTAGTAAGTATCCCCATTACATTTATTACTAAAGAATACATATTATTTTAAATAAATGGTTGCATTATATGTTTATTTTTCATATTAATTTACTTTTGTCTTGCCCGCCATATTACGTACTAAATACACGTGGAATATTAACCTTGTGATACGAAATTTAAACTGTTTGGAATATAAATGAAAACATTGTAGGGCAGAAACTGAATATCTTTTCTTTTTATAACGACACAATTTTCGTGCAAATCAATAGGTAGAACTTCTGTGAAAAAATGGCTAAAGCAACAGCAACACAGAACAAAGATCTTAATCCTAAAACCCTAAGTACACCAAAAGATGGATTTATACAGAAGAAAAAGAGTCAAAAATTTAAACAAACCCCAAAAGGCAAAATCTCCTTAATTAATGGATCAAAAGCATCAAATAATAATAACATGAAGCAGCAACAGTTACAAAAACAGAAAAATTCCTCACCTGAAAAGTTTTCAGAGAAAAATAAAGAATTAAAAAAAGTTGATTCACCTAAAACTGATAAGAAACAATCTTCTAAGAAAGAATTAAGTAAAAAGGGTCTGAATAAATATAAGACAAATGAATCTGATTCTGACGAAGATATTAATGAAGGAGTTGTATTGGAAGAAGAAGAATTAATGGAAGAAACAGATGATACTGATAGTGAAGAAGAGTCTGATGAAGATGGACAAGACAAAAAGGTACTTAATGTCCTTGGCGCCAGTTTAGCAGATGACACAGAGGAAGATGATGAGGAATTCAAAATTGAAGATAAAAAAGGAAAGTCACAAGTAAATAAAGGAGTAAAAATGTTTAAGGGAGTAAAATCCAGCAACAAAAGTTCAGACAAATCAAGTACCGAAACTTCTCTAGTTGATGATGAAGAAGACGATGAAATAGAAGATGATGACAGTGAAGATGTTGAAGAAGAAGAGGATGATGATAATGAAGAAGTTGGAGATGAAGAAGAGGAAGATGATGACGAGGAGGAGGAATCAGAGAATGAAGGAGAAGAATCTGTACTGGGTACAAAAGCACTACTAGATCAAAGTCTTGCAGATGATGATGATGATGAGGACTTTGTTGAGCCAGAAGGACACGAAGAAGATGATGATATTAGTGATGAAGATGAGGAAGAAGGTGAAGCAGACAACAGTACACTTGACAACTCGTATCAAAGTAATAGTAGTAAAGATGCAAACTCCTCTTATGAAAAGACAAAAGCAGATAACAACACTATTTTTGTTGGTAATTTACCAAAAGAAGTAACAGACAAACAGTTGAAAAAGCTGTTTAAGAAATTTGGAAATATTGATGCCATACGTATAAGGGGTATAGTACCAGATTCTCCACAAATACCTAAAAAAGTTGCTGCAATCACTAAAAAATTCCATCCAAAATTGCAAACAGTTTATGCATACGTGAGATTTATTTCTGAAGAATCTGCTAAAGCAGCTTTGGCACTGAATGGAACTCTATTTGAAGGAAATCATCTAAGAGTAGACATGGCTAATAAGACAGAGAAAAAATATGATGCGAAAAAGAGTGTATTTTTAGGAAATTTACCATTTAGTAAGTATATTATGTATAATAATGCTAATAAAATCGGATAGATTGAATTGATACTAAATACATCTTGTAATTTTCAGAAATTAATCATGAGACAGTGAGGAAGCACTTTGAAAGTTGTGGTGAGATAGAGTCTGTACATGTAGTCAGAGATAATGTAACTGGAATAGGTAAAGGAATTGGATATGTTAACTTCAAAACTGAAGATGCTGTTGCATTAGCTTTTGAACTTAATGGTACAACGATCTTAAATCGAGAAGTTATTGTAAAACCATATGTTGAGCACCATCAGGGTGGTAAACACAGAAAAAGATCGCATTCTAAAGACAGTGATAAACAGGGTTCTCCGCGTAAACAATTCAAACAAAATTCCGGAAAATCATCATCGGTAAGATGCTTCAATTGCTTTATTTTCCTTAAAATATTAGTGTTTCAAATTAATTAAATATATACATGTATATCTTTTTAGGCTCCTAATAAGGAAAGTCCTAAGAAAGTGGGAAAGGAACAAAAAGTTGAAAAGAAACAGGCTAGTCCACAACAGAAAAGCATGTTCCAAGGCCAGAAAGCTGATAAAGATAAGAAGAAGAAAGAAAGCAAAGTAGATAAAAGGAAGCAAGTCTTGGCAAAAAAGCTCACAGCTAAAGCTAAAAAACCATCAAACTGAATGACATAAAAAATCTGTTAAACTTAAAACATTTCATTGATTTAATTTGAGTAGTTGTATTTAATTTATATGATAGCAATAATAACAAAATATAAGCTTATCTTAATAATTTTTAAAAAGAACATGTAATCAAACTAGTATATGTATTACAGTGAAATGTTTTTACGACTTTTATCAGTATATATTTTTAGGTGTAAGAAATAGAAATACGTATTTACTGTTTAATAAAATACTATTTTTATGAATTCATATTCTTTATTAAACTTTTTATTTTAGGTTGTAATTGCGATGGCAAGTTATGCATATTATCAGATGCGCATTTCAAGCAAAACCGTTTTCCAAAATATATACTACATCCTAAACATGCAGACTTTTTACAAAAATTACAGTCAGCTCCTAACACTAAAACTTCTCCCTTGTTTGGTAAACTAAAGGGATCTTTCATAATATAACATTCTTCCATATAAGTCAACTGTCGTGCAAATGGAGGTTTGGTCCCTTTAAAGTCAAACCGTTCTTGTAGTGAACAATGACAGCATGTAAATATTCCACCTGTTGTTTGTTTTGATTCTTGAATCGTAGAAGTTATACGATGATCATTCTCGCTGATGCAGGGATCATCCGTAGACGTACTAGCGATAGATTCCATCCTATAAAGTACGAAGGATGGGAAATACTATATAATTTCTTCTCATAACATATTTATTTTATATTTATACATTACAATTTTAGAAAACATGTATCTATTATTTTTTAGTAAATGATGCGCTTTGTGCTTGAGTTTCTTGTGGCCACCAAACAGGTTTTGAAACTTTTAATTCAATATCTGATATAGTAAGGGATTGAGCTTTTAGAGCTTCAGTAATTCGTATTAAACCTAATCCATGTTCATTTTCAATTCCTCTAAATTTACCTACTACATTACCAGATTCATTAATAATCTTTTCATCGTACGCAAAAGATTTATTTGGAACTTCATTGAATAATAAAGGCATTAAACGTTTTCTTACTACTCCAGTATGATAAGTACGTGCTGTAAGTTCTTGACCAACGTAACAACCTTTATGAAAACTGATCCCATGCAAATAATCACAATTTACTTCTAATGGTAAAGGCTTTCCTGGTGGTAAGTCCTCAATACCTTCAGCTATTCCAAGTTTATAACGAAATACTTTGAAATTTAAACTATTAGTGGGAGTCATAGTGTCAGAATTTAAATGCTTTGCTATTTCATTTCTTTCAATTTTTGTTTCAGCTAAAATTCTCATACCTAAATTTGGAAGTCTGGGATCTTCATATATCATAATATTATCAATTACTTTGCTTACTTTATTATTAAGACTACCACATGGAAATATTAAACCTTCAAGCTTCTGCCTATTAGTATCATTAACTTTGTTATCTAAATAATGCATAGGATCAAAAAATGTCCAAACATTTATGGTATCTCCTAAATTATCTATGTCTATCTTTTTCCTAACACGATACATTTTTAAGTGTTTTTGCAATGGTTCAACAGCTTGTGAATCACATTCAATATAATACACATCATCTTCTTGAGTTTTGTAGATGATGACATCATACATTACTCTACCCTTAATGTTAAGAAATAATGCATACAAATTGGCTGCTCCTTCTTCATAATGTTTCATATCATTTGTAATCAGTCCTTGTAAGAAATTTGAAGCTTCTTTCCCTCTAACTTGTATCAAACTCTTATTTTTCAGGTGTTCTAAGATTTTTTGTGAAGACTGAGAAGAATCATGTCTAACAAATTGTTTTTGTATTTTTCCAAATTTATCCAACTTGCGGAAGGGTAAAATAAATTTTTTAAGATGCACTATCATTGTACCAAAATTTGAATAAATGTGACCTTTACAAAGAAAAAAAAAATCTAATCTCAAATCATGTTCAATACTTCATTAGTTTTATAAATTAATCTTACGTTTCAGTTTGTTTCTATAATTCACAACACCCCTTTGCCAATATTTTAAATAAATTTCAGTTGCAATTTTTTTAACATTACATTACTTCTATGTTGCAAATAAGATGTAATGCACATGTGATACATTTTTCACACATTCAGGAGGTTCATTTTGGAGGCTCCAATTTACGAGTTTCATTTACGAGTTATGTTCTCCCACAAAATGGGACTGGTATTACATCACAGCGCTCTTAGTGGTAAAAAAGCATATCAACAGGAAGTAAGCAGTGACTATAGATCCAAAACTGAACATGCCTTTGTTCTCCAGGGATCCTGATTTTGGGATCCCAGGCACCCCCAAACTCACGATCAGTTAAACCTCATGTGTGGAACCATCGACGAGAGATGGTTGAAGGAGAGACTGTCTCTTCCCCCTGTGGTTCGGGGGGCTTAGAATACGGCCACGGTATCCCCTGCCTGTCGTAAGAGGCGACTAAAAGGGGTCACACAGCACATACACACATATACATACACATGCACGCACATACACACGCACACACACATACCACCGATTCGGACAAAAGGTGAGCAGACTCTAAAAGTATGGACTGAGTAAGATTTAAAAGTATGGACAAGTATGAGAGACGAAATTTAAAAATGCGGAGGGTTTGGTGTTGGCGGGGCTGCCAGCACATCCCCGAAGGCGCGTAGCTGTCAGGGTTCATTGGGCAATATGGGGACAGATAAGTCCCCAAAAGCGGCGAGGGGCGAAATTAGTGAGTGAGATGAGACTGTCTCTTGTCGGTGCTTTAACACAGGGATTGGCAGTCTTTAACAGTTTCTCGTCGGTGGCGGAATACAGTCAGTATAACAATTGTGCCTGTTTTATCAGTCCCTTCTTTACCGCACCACGCAATGACAACAGAAAAGACACAATTTTGATTTCCTCTGACTCTATTTTTTATAAATTAATCAAATCTAGTAGAGGACCAAAAAGTTATTAGAATAATTATTTGACAAACATATATTTTGAGAAGACCGCCTAGAGTTAAAAATTTTTTAAGTTCGGCCACTACGCCATCTACACAAAAGCGGCGGAAACTACTCAATAGATTACCGACTTATCGACTGAACTTCCGACAGTCGGTAATCAACCGTTCGGCAGTCGGTAAGTTAACGAATAGTTTGCGCCGCTTTTATATAGATGGCGGAAGATCGATGACTTCATGGGGGCTTATTCCATATTTAAATTGAATGATTTGTGTTTAAATTGTAAAAATATATTTGAAATTGAAAATATAAAGGTATACACGTCTTTTGGCTTTGGAGGTTCTTGGAGGAATGAATATTCATAAAATTAATTCCAATTTGTTTTAAATATAACAAATGAACAATAAACATAGTTTGAAGAAGGTAGCGATGAGAATAATTTTGACAGCGTAATCTTCCTTATCGACATCGGCCGCCACAGCTTGGGGTGTGAAGGACCCCGAAACACCGGGGATGAACTTTGCATGTCGACATTATGGCATCCGGGGTGTCAGGGACCCCGGTGACGCTCTCTGCGCACTGACCTAATATCATCTTGGGGTGTCAGGGACCCCGGTGACTCTCTCGGCGCACTGACCTAATATCATCTTGGGGTGTCAGGGACCCCGATGACTCTGCGCGCCGACTTACGATTAGTATCAACATATGAGATATTTGACCTAGAACGAAATACGACCTCCTCAGTCTTATATCGACAGCCAAGGGATGCGGATCAACTTGTCAAACGTACATATACCTTTACTTTCATTTCGGAATTTCTGTAATTTAATTTATTTATTTTCTTTGCTTATTAAATAAGATCATCAAAGGGGAATAACATTTATAACTTTATCCCACTTCGGGGCCTTTATTGTTCTATCCCTTTTCATAAGCGAAAGGCCACTCTAATCAAATAATGATTATTTTATGTTTCTTTCAAGACCCACGCTTCCTAATTATTTATTATTTTATTAATCAGTAATTTTATTAGTAATTGATCGGAAATCGTTTGTGATTTACAAATATACCATTTTTATTGTTTGTGAGTGAATAATTTCTTAACTATCTACGTGTTTGTTTTATAATAAACAATTGTAGTGCGCATGCGCTACAGATCCGGTCGTACCCATCACTACCTAGAACAAGTGAGTTTCACAATTTGTTCGTTTTTCGTTCTTATATTTCGCTAGATCCGGTCAAACCCATCACTACCCCGAACAAGTGAGTTTCACGATTTGTTCGTTTTTCGTTCTTATATTTCGCTAGATCCGGTCAAATCCATCACTACCCCGAACAAGTGAGTTTCACGATTTGTTCGTTTTTAGGTCTTATATTTCGCTACTTTCTTTGGGGTCCCTGGAACCCCAAGAGTGCATTCCGGGTTCCTGAGAACCCCAAGACGATACCCGGGGTTCCTGAGGACCCCAGAATTAAATTATGGGTCCCTGAGAACCCCAGAATTAAATTATGGGTCCCTGAGAACCCCAGAATTAAATTATGGGTCCCTGAGAACCCCAGAATTATATTATGGGTCCCTGAGAACCCCAGAATTATATTATGGGTTCCTGAGAACCCCAGAAGGGTAACAGGGATTCTCAGGACTCCAGGGATGATGACCGGGGTCCTTGGCACCCCAAGAGGATACTCGGGGTCCCTGAAACCCCAGATACCATATTGTCGGTATGTAAAGAGAGTCATTGGTGCTTTGGGGTCTCCGAAACCCCGGATACCATAATGTCGGTACGCGATGAGAGTCATTGATGCTTTGGGGTCTCCGAAACCCCAGATACCATAGTGTCGGTATGCAATGAGAGTCATCGGTGCTTCGGGGTCCCTGATACCCCGGATATTGTCAGGACCGTATGAAGAGGGCACAACCAGTATAAATTTTTTCTAGAGTTAATTTAATTTATTTCATTTATTTTTTTCTGCTTATTAAATAAGCTCATCAAAGCGGATAGCATTTATGATAGTATTCCTCTTCTAGGTCCCAGCCGAGGACCCCATTTATTTTACTTTTTCCAGTTATTTATATAATTTTATCCCTCATTATAGCCAAGGCCATCTCAGTAGCCCTTACATCCCTGCATTCCTTCCATCGCAGCATTCCTTCCATCACAGCATTCCTTACATTCCTGCAACCCTTAAATACCCATTTTTTTTTTTTTTTTTTTTTTAACGTGGTGGAAATCTTCAGAAAGACACCTCCAGCCCCCCTGGAGAGGGGCCGGAGGTAGTGTGGGATTTTTACCCACTAAAACCACCACGGCGGCCTACACTAGAGCGGCAGGGAGGGTCCTTTGACCCACAGCCATGTGCCTAACTCCGCCGAAATCGGGGGCCACAACCGATGCCGGCACTCTTCGGGCCGCGTGTAGTGGAGACCGGGGCCCCAGCCCCGGATCCCTACGGAATTCCTTTACATCCCTCGTTCCGTTACATCACTTCATCCCTTAAATCCCTACGTTCTTTTCATCCCTACACTCTTTTCATCCCTACATTCTTTTCAGCCCTACATTCTTTTTATACCTACATTCGTTACATCGCTTCATCCCTTACATGCCTACATTCCTTTCATCCCTACATTCCTTACCTCTCTTCATCCCTACACTCTTTTCATCCCTACATTCCTTACATTTCTTCATCCCTTACATCCCTACATTCCTTACATCGCTTCATCCCTTACATGCTTACATTCCTTACTTCTCTTCATCCCTACACTCTTTCCATCCCTACATTCCCTACTTCGCTTCATCCCTTACATCCCTACATTCTTTTCATCCCTTCATTCCTTACATCTCTGCATCCCTTATAATAAATATATTATAAAGACTGCTTCGAGTAAAGGTAAGTAAAGGTAAGTTCGAGAATTTCGCGAAAATTTCGAAAAACGGCGCCCCCTAGCGGCAAAAATGTGAACTAAAACATCGATGTCGAATCAGCGCCATCTGGTTTTGGAAAAAGGAACTAAAGCTTGCTCGGTTTCTGGCCCTCTGGCGGCAACAATGTGAACTAAAATTTCGATGCCGAATCAGCGCCATCTGGTTTTGGGAAAAGGAACTAAAGCTTGCTCGATTTCTGGCCCTCTGGCGGCCAAAATGTGAACTAAAATTTCGATGCCGAATCAGCGCCATCTGGTTTTGGAAAAAGGAACTAAAGCTTGCTCCATTTCTGGCCCTCTGGCGGGAAAAATGTGAACTAAAATATCGACCTCGAATCAGCGCCCTCTGGTGACGAAAAAAGGGACTAAATTTGTATGGAATGCAGGAATATAAGTGATAAAAGGATGTATAGGATACAGGCATGTAAGGGATGCAGGGACGTAGAGATATAAAGAAGGCAGGAATATAAGGGATGAAGCGATGTAAGGAGTGTACGGATGAAAAGAGTGTAGGGATGGAAAGAGTGTAGGGATGAAGAGAGGTAAGGAATGTAGGGATGAAAAGAATGTAGGCATGTAAGGGATGAAGCGATGTAAGGAATGTAGGGATGAAACGAATGTAGGGATGTAAGGGATGAAGAGATGTAACGAATGTAGGGATGAAAAGAGTGTAGGGAGGAAAAGAATGTTGCGATGATAATAATGTAGGGATGGAAAGAGTGTAGGGATGAAGAGAGGTAAGGAATGTAGGGATGAAAAGAATGTAGGCATGTAAGGGATGAAGCGATGTAAGGAATGTAGGGATGAAAAGAATGCAGGGATGCAAGGGATGCAAGAATGTAAAGGATGCAGGGATGGAAGGAATACAGGGATATAACGAAATCAAGGATGTAAGGCATGCGGGGGTATAAGGGTTGCATAGAAGTAAGGAATGCAGTGATGTAAAGGATGCAGAGATGTAAAGGAATGAGGGATGTAAAGAATGTACATAGGAGTATTAAAATCAACACGTGTCCTCCTAATGAGTTTATTCAATAAGGTGAGAAGATAAGTACAGCAAATTAAATGAGCGCAGATAATAAAATAAGGGCACATGTATGTTTCGCAGGTAGATCTGCACCCCTCGGCGGTCGCTAGAAGACTGATGGTATTTCACTTCTCTCTAGATCGAACGGTGACGCCGGTATTACTCCGGAACCCTGGTACATTGGTGCCCATCTGGGGTGGCTAGCATCTGGCCGACACCGGGGATCGCACCCGGTGCTGACTTCTACTTGAGGGATGTACAAAGGCATCTGGAGCCTCCACCCCCGACGCCATGGGGCCTAACGGCCCCACCAGTTTTAGTGGTGAAGCCGCTATATCTAGTGTTAAGAGAAGGGCTGAATCAACCCAGTGACTATAGATAGATAGATAGTCTACTATCTGTAGTCACTGCGTTGTCTTGTATAGACGTGTCAAATTACGTATTTTGTATAAATTTATTAAATTGTATATGCTATACAATAATTTTTAAAGGTAATTATATTCCTTGTTTAAATCAAGTGATTTAGAAGACACTTTTCTTTGTATAACTTTAATGTTCTTTCTATTTAGTTTAAGACGAACTGATAGGTTAATTCTAACATTTCAGATGATCACGGACGTACAGTTAGCTGTATTCTGCAACATCCTCGGAGCCACATTATTTTGTTTAGTATTTCTATTTCATTATATAAATGCAAATTATTCGAAATAAGAAAATACAATGTTACTGTTAAACGTAACCTAAACCTGGCTTCGGAAACATGTACACATGGAGTTACGTATCTATATGTTGTATTTCATACTGTTGATTGACAGATATCACTGATAAATAAATGGATTTACATTCATAAATGGATTCGATGTTAAATAAAAATGTCATTTTTATGTTCCTATTGTATGAAAACACTGTACAAAATATACATTGTAAGATGAACAGAAATTGAAAAATAAATGTTATAATTTGTGAACAGTGATTAATTTATTTTTACAAATACCAATCTTACATCATTTATTCTAAAGTATGATAGGGTGCTAGGGTCGAACTTCAAAAGTTTATAATTTACGGCGGTCATTGGCTATCATAATTGGCTACGTCCAGTCTTTTTGCATCTGTAGTTAATGTTTACAGTTTGAAATCAGTATAAAATCCAGTAAAATTAATAAAAATTTATTTAAAAGACAAATCAGATTGTTACAAACAAAATATTAGCATACTTAACTGGATCCTGCTGGTTGTGTTAACAAATTTTATTTACAAAATCTATACATATACAATACAATCAAAATGTATAAAAAGTATACATTATAATTGAAAAAATATGATTTATGTTAAAATGTCAAGTCAAGTTAAAAAATATTTAATTTAATGAATAATTATTATACATATTGTGCATTTGATGTTTTTTATACAGTTAATCATATGTATGGAAGAAGAAAAGTAATACAAATATTTTAGATGGCAAATGCTGTACAAAGAGTACAATATATTAAAATTAGTCGGCTCGTACTGGAACTCTTGTGTGTACTGTAGTTTTGCGCTGATAAATATATACTTGTGCTAAAATTGCAAAATCAATTAAAACCTGAAGAGTACCACAAACTTCAAACTGAATGGGAGCTTCTTTTACAATAAAATAACATGTTTTAAATGTATCTCCTAATGTCCACATAGTAACCATAAGTATACTGAAATAATCATAATAAAATTGGTTAAGAAATAAGCCGTTTTAAATAGCCATTTTTATTAATAAAATAACACTATACCTCATTCCATTGGTAGATTTTTTATAAAAATTACGAAGAAGTTGTGGTAATCCAAGCATGGCTTCTGTTAATACTGCAAGTATTCCGACAGTTTCAACAAATACTGGTACATCTACTAGTAGGTACGTTAAAATTCCTACTAGGGCTGCAAATAGCAGCATAAAGTCCAAATAAGATTGAAAGTCTGTCCACTTCCAAAAAAAATTTGTATCTAAATCTATTTAAATTGAGTTAAAAAGGCTCATAAGTTAGAAGATTACTATAAATATGTAATCACAAATTATATTATTTTTATGAAATAAAACTTACCAGAAAATACATGTTCTCTAACTTTAATTACTTGATTTCTATTTTGTACATTAACACAAAGTTTGATCATAACAAACATAGTTATGATCATAAATATACTTTGTAGTAAAAGAGGTATTTCATAATGCTTTCCAAACCTGAAAGAAACACATGTCAATTAGTTGATAAAATAAAAGTACATAATACAATTGAAATAAGAATACAAACCAGAAAAAAATACGTAATGTATTAGCTATTAAAAGTGTGAGGCATACGTAAAGGGAGAATCCTTCTGCATTTTCTTTCTTTTTAATTTCCTTATACTGTGGCACATATGGAATAATTCCACCAAATATTATTGCTCCAGAAGCAAGCCAATGTGCTAAATCTTTAATTGTTAGCTGTTCATAGATTTTATACATTGTAATAGATTTTTGTTATATACATAATATTTCACTATCTACAATTCATTAGGAATGGTAAATTTTAGGTTATATCCCCAATATTTTTAAACGTCATCTTGTCAATGAATCATTTAGATTAAACACATCTATGATAATCAAGGAACCAACAACCAGTGTCAAAACATATTACCTATGAACCAATGTTACATGTAACGATTTATTACGCGTTACCATTTTATGCAATATTCATTAAAAACAATAAACATATGACATCACAATATGACAGGACTATATATATACAACGGATACGGAGATACAGTGATTTAGTTAGTGATAGTCCCCACGAGGCTCATAAAAAGAATAAAGAAATAGATATCTGCCAAGGGAGGCCTTGGTCCATACAGAGGAGTAGGATAATAAATAGTTAGGGAGCGTGGGTCTTGGCCCATAAAGAAGGAGAAAATAATTAATATCTGAAAGGGGTGGCCTTGGCCTATAAAGAGGGATAAAATTATATGAATAACTGGAAAAAGTGAAACAAAAGGGGTCCTAGGCCGAGGCCCAGAAGAGGGATACAATCATAAATGTTATTCCCCTTCGATGAGCTTATTTAATAAGCAAAGAAAATAAATAAAGTAAATTAAATAAACTCCGAAAAGAAATTAGAGAACGATTATTATACTGGTTGTGCCATCTTCATACGGACCTGATTTCATCCAGGGGTGCCAGGGACCCCGCTGCGCCAATGACACCCTTTGGATACCGATCTGAAACAGAGATTCTCGCGCATGATATGATATGATAAGTTTCCCTCTTTTGAGGGTGGCGTAATCTAGGGGCTAACGGCCCCTTTTTGCCCACCGAAAATTAGCGTCCACGCGCCTTTTTCACAATACATTATTCCTTTTCTCGCAATATATTCTTTCTCACATTTCTGCATTCCTTTTACATCATACTGCCTTACTCGCTCCTTTACATCCCCCTTTTAGTCGCCTCTTACTACAGGCAGGGATTACCGTGGCCGTATTCTAATCCCCCCGAGCCACAGGGGGTCATACCGACATAATATCGTCCGGGGTGTCAGGGATCCCAAAGTACCGACGATACTCTGCATACCGACATTATGGCATCTGGGGTGTCAGGGACCCCGAAGTACCGGCGATACTCTGCATACCGACATTATGGCATCTGGGGTGTCAGGGACCCCGAAGCTAAAATATGCAACCCATATTGTTATATATTTCCTAAGTCGATAAGCACGTATTTTGCTTATAATAAATAGAATCACACATCTATACACTCTTTAGATTTGGTTTATAATCGAAATTTTTGTTAATGCTAAAGAGTGAAAGTTGTTTTCATTCTATTTTGTATATAGCGATTGAAAGTCAACACCATAGTATAAATAAAGAATAAATATTAATAGGATAATTAAATCCTAAGATTCCTGTTGAGACTTCAGCTTCGAATTGATTAATTTTTCGTGGCTACAGACCAAAGAGAAGTCACACTGTTATCATGAATCGAATAGTGATATTTGGAGCTACAGGAAATACCGGATTATGTTCTTTAAATACTGCTGTAAACAAGGGTAAAATATCATTTTATTATATTATTGCATAAATTTTTAATTAATACGTGATAGTAGCATAGATATACTTAATTGCTACTCTGAACGGCTTAATGATTAAAGCACTCGCTTAGTAGTGAAATGTGAGACGTGAATTTCAATAAATTGATTTAATATTTGTATGATTAATTATATTTTCTATTACAATATATTTATGAAAAATATTTTGTTATCAACATTTAACAATATATAGAAATTATAATAAAATTGCAAAGTCATAATAACTTAGCATTAGAAAATGCAAGTTATATGCAAGTCAATTTTCTTTCCCATTTTTGTAATATATAACAAATTTTAGGACTAAATGTAAGAGTATTTGTAAGAGATGAAAACAAGGTACCAGAACATTTAAAAGATAAGGTAGATATAGTTGTTGGAGATGTTACCAATGCAGAACAAGTTTCAAATGCAGTAGCTGATAGAGATGCAGTAGTTGTTGTTCTTGGCACACGGTACAGCTTGAGTAATTATTATATTTTATATCCAATATTAATTTTCCAATGTAATGTGGCTTTAATTTTTATTTCACTTCGTTTATGTAGGTCCAACTACCATGTTATCAGAGGGCATGAAAAATATTATAGAAGCTATGAAAAAACATAATGTAGAAATAGTATCTGTCTGTTTATCTGGTATGTTCATTTTCCATATGCCAATAATTTTTGTATACTTTCAAATAACATTTTATTTATTTACAGAATTTCTATTCTATAAACCTGAAGAAGTACCTAGTCTATTTAGAGATGTAACTGAAGACCATCAACGTATGTTTGATGTTCTCAAGGCAAGTCAATTAAAATGGATTGCAATATTACCACCTCATATTTCAGGTATTTTTTTTTTAGAATGAACACACTTGTTTATAATAATATAACGAAGTAATAATACATATTTTATTTGTTGTTTTCAGACTCAATTCCAAGTTCAAAATATGAGGTGAAAATTGACGAATCTCCTGGTCGAGCTATTTCTAAGCATGACTTGGGTGCATTTCTTGTTGAAAGCCTTGAACAACCACAGTATTATCAAAAAGTTTGTGGTATTGCAAATGTTCCATAATATTATATAAAATGTGATCAGTTATAAATAAGTTCTTTTATTTCTTTCTAGTAAAATAAATTTAAAATATAAAAATAAGAAAGAAAATTTCTGCTTACTCAAAATATATTGCATCAATACTGAAACATTAAAAAAATATGTGCAATTCCAAATATCTGTTGGAATGGTTATAATGTATTATGACATAAAAATGAGATGTATGCATAATATTTTTGTATTTATGGACGATTAAAAAAATAATTTTATAAATAAATAAATAAGATATGTTTTGTAACACATTTACACATGGAATATGAAAAAAAACTGATCTAGAAACATGAAGTTTTTGTTGCATTTTGCTGTTAAGATAATTTTTTAACCATATGTGTTCTGTGAGCTGTAAGACTCAAATCATAGAACCTTGGCATTTTAAAGTTTGGCATTGGTGGAGGTGGTGGACCACAACATTGTGTACTTTTTTCTTTAAGTTTTGCTTTAGTAAATGCTGCAGTAGAATACACAACATCATTGATTCCATATGCTTTAAATGGATCACATGTCTTATATCCATTTTTAAGGTAAAAAACTTCTTGTCCCTCAGTTCTTAAATACACATTTTTAATCCCCTTTTTTGCTACATATTCCTCAGCTCCACGTAGTAATTTAGATCCAAGTCCCTGAGATCTACATTGGTAATCAATTACAACTGAAATGAAGAACAAAGTTATCTTTCATTTATTAATATTCTTTTTAAATCACACTTACCTGATTGTATAAAACAACTATGACGTAATCTAGGTATTAATGATATCTTACAATGACCAAGCACTTTATTTTCTTTATCAATTAATACAAGACATGTGGGAAATTCATCACATGATACTTTTAAAAATTTCAACCTGTTTCATACAAAAGTTGAATCAATTCAGCATTTCTAGAAAGACATTTTTTTTCAAATAATTAATAAAAATACCTTGCAGATTCACTCCTTGGCCATTCTGAATTAAGTAATGTACAACAGTCTGGAATCAAATCAGGTCGTTTGTGGAGAGGAACTATACTGTACTCTTTATCAACAGCAGTCATTATATTTTACTGTAAACATGTATTGCAGGAGATAATACCTTTTTCAATAAGTCAGAAATATAATAATAGGAACATTACGATATTATTATTTAAATAATCATATAAAAATGCTGCACAGAAATTTATTGTATTATGAAAGGTTAAACATTACATATTTCATGAAAAGTGAAATGAGTGAACATTTGAAGATTATCTGGTTGGGTGCTTTGGAAGAAATATGCTCAACAACCTGTGATTGACAGGTTTCAAAAAATATAAAGTAGCATGTGTCAATGGGTGTAATAAATAGTTTGCAATAGATGTCCTTACCGTATTTTTATAGGTGAATAAAGGGAACTTGACACCAAGTTTAAGGGTCACTGTGCTTCACCTGCATGTATCACGTCGTGCGGAAATAGCTTTCAGATTAGAATCATCTTGAGCTAAGAATGATTCTCCTGGGCATATCCCCACTATTATGTAAAATTTTCACCAACACCCAGAGATATTAAATATATCCTTTCGTTCTGGCAGACTTCTTAAATTCTTTTCTTCTAAGCATTTTGAGCGATATTATTTCAACAAACACCGAGTTTATGCAGCACCTGTAGAAGAATAAGCGTATCATACAATTTTTATTACTCACACATATATACGTTTATTATTAAATAAAGAGAAACTCTTGACCGTCAAATATTTGACGGTTAATTTGATTTTGTTAATTTTTCTACGCATGTTGGATTATGTTTTATGTATACAAATTTAAATTCAACGTAAATATTTCCTTTTACGTACGAAGTGTTTTATTGTAACATGGCCGTGACCTATTCTCTTTCGAACTCGAACGTCTTTTTTTGCATTTGACCCATTTTTCTTAATAGCCTCTGTTCTATATGTGAACAATGTCCTGCATTCTTTATTTCAACAGTGATGTTCAATGATGTTTCTAAATAATGTCCTCTCCATGTTAACACATTATTGCGTCCGCTGTAAATCAAAATAATTTAAGGAAATATCTTTGTACTTTCAATTTATGAAGAATAATAAAATAAATATTTATAGTTTGTTATCAATATATATGTTGACAATGTAAATTAGAAATTAAGCATTAGAGATATTTGAGAACCGCTGATCATTACAGCTGATGATGCAACGTGCGGTTTGTGTGCATTGTTCTTGTACTTTTAATTGTACGTACACGTGATTTATAATTAAATTAAACAATAGTGCTAATACAATTTGTATGGAGATTATACAGGAAACATATATTTTTGAATTATATTAATAGGAAACGCTAATTATTTTATTTCAACAAAAGCAATATTTCATACTTCCAGTTACCTATTTTATTGAATAAAGATGTTGTCAGGAAGACCTCCCGTAACAGGTGATTAAAGAAATATTGAAATTATAAGCGTTAAACATTATTAATATAATAATCGTTTTTATTTTATATAACCTCTGTTTTATTTTGGTGCAATTAACAGAGAATCCTTTGGGACTTTCCTGGCATGACAGTGCATGGATTCCTGTGTTAAATCCAAACAATATAATGGATTATTTTTCGGAAAGGAGTAATCCTTTTTATGATAGAACCTGTAATAATGAGATTATTAAAATGCAACGGTTAAGCCCTGATCAATTGCAGTAAGGAACAAATAGGTGATATAAAAATGATATGATACCTTATAGAATAAAAATATGAATAGTTAATTCATTTCAGAAATATGACTGGTCTTGAATATATTCTTTTACATGTACAAGAACCAATTTTATATGTAATTAGAAAGCAACATCGTCATTCTTCTACTTTAGCAACACCGCTTGCAGATTATTACATTATTGCTGGTGTTGTGTATCAAGCTCCTGACTTGGCATCTGTTGTCAGCTCTAGATTGGTATGTACTGCTTATGAAATAAATCTAATAACAGAGAAATACATGCGTTTAATCGATGCAATTACATGTTACAGTTATCTACAGTACACCACTTACAATCCGCTTTTGAAGAAGCTAGTTCATGTTCAAGATACCATCCCAGTAAGGGTTATTATTGGGATTTCAAAAATGGCAAAGCTATGGCAGCAAAGAAAGAAACACCCGTTCGTGAGGAACCAAGTTCTTTATTCCAACGCCAAAGAGTAAACATGTTACTTGCAGAACTCACACGCAAGTTTCCATTACCTGTTCCAAAACCGGTGCATCAAGCTATAGAATCATGTAAGTATTCATTAAATTTGTTAAGCTTATTGTGGGCATAAATGTAATAATTGTTTATTGATTTCTAGCCATGGAAATTAAACAAGAAATTAAAACTGAAAAGAAAGACATGAAACCACCACCAGAAAAGAAGCCAAAAATTAATTAATAATGTATTAATGATAACGTAAGATTAATAACGTTCTAGCAATGAATTTTGTAAGTGTACATATTTTTTTATGATATTTAAAATTTTCCACAGCATTTTCATTATTTTTATTTTTATATTCTTTTATTATACAAAAATTGTGATGAAATAATATGTGAATGAGTATGTTATGGCAAAATACTTAACTGGTATAAAATTAAAAAATAGGTCAAATATTTTTCGTTTCATTATTTCTTGCACCATGGACAGTCAGGATTATCGAATTCTTCTTGAATATTTCTTTTGACTTTTGGAAGTTTTTTCTTTCCAATATGTTTGAACGTTTTTTTTTTACCACAAGAACTATCATCAGGACACTTTATTATTTTTTTCTTAGCTGCTGGAGAACAGGGAGGATCTTGATGTTTTTGTACTCGAGTTAAACGAGAACACGTTGAAATAGCGTTGAATACAATCTATGAAGTCATACCATACTTTTACAATTATTGAATAAAATTTAAATATATTTTGTTACAAACTTTCTTATTAATCCGTGCAACAGGTTGTACGAGACGTATCATATTCTTTTTCTTTTATAAATTTAATAAAAATGTACTTGTTACACCTTAAATTTTCATCATAATAAAAGAACTTTTTAAATGTCAAAATCCATCAACATTTCAACTTTTTTTTCAGAGTTTCATTTGTAAATGCTGCAATAACAAATATACTTCTTGTTATGGTTATAGTGTATAAGAAGAAAAATGATATGTGATGGAAATACGTGTCCGAAATCGTACGCGGATACGAAAATCTATGAACAGTGTCATTATGTTACCGACAACAATGAATTCATCAAGAATCTGAAACACGAGAAGTGTAAAATAATTCAATTAGTTCGACGACAAATCTATAATTTTCACAATGCTCAAGTAACAATATCCTAATTAAAAGTTTCTGTATAATTCAGAATTTTGTGTTCATGTATTGAAAGGGAACAAGTATGAACTTGTTGAACAAATTGCAGAGAAGTTTCCAGTTGGAATATCAAAATATTTCCAACGTCAAGAACGAAGACATGAATGTGAAAGAAGGAACAAATATCCATGAATATCCAATTTGTCAAGCATGGCTTGTAGGCAGGTTAAAAAAGATTCGTCGAAGAATTTGCATGATAGTATTGATTGCTGGATTGATCTTATTGATATGGCTGATATGCAGTATTTATTTCCGGGGATATCTATGCAATAATGGAAAATCTTGCATTACCTCTCTTCGGTACACTCATGCCAAACATAAATTATTTTAAATTGAGCTCTTCTTAATATTTACAAAGATCAATAGATATAACGATGAAAATAAATGTGGTATTTGTATGGGTTAAATTGATGGCTTAATAAGGAAAAACCTTCTAAGACTTGACACAAAATATATTAAACTTGAATAATACACCATGTGTAGCGTTTAGTTAGTATGCAACTAGTCTTGACGATTCCTAGATTCTTTTTTTTAGACTTCCATAGGTTTTCAATGAGACATTTGACCTTTAAGCGGTGCATAATACGTCGCAATGCTCGCACTATGCCAGTTTGTTAATTTTTTTTTTTGTGCAATATACACCAACTCGTTGAAGAGACCAGTTGCAGTTTGATGTTTCAATCTCGATGCCAATTACAATTAATCATACGATTATTTAGGCTTTGAGATCGCTCTTCTTGATATGTTTACTCGTTCCATTCGTTCAAATTATTTTGGTTTCTTTACACACAACTTTCTGGACCAGGTATGGAGTTGGCAATGATGATTTCCTTCATTAAATTACGATCAGCCTTGAAACTAATAGGTTCCCAAGACTTTGTGGAAAATGGATTCAACTGCGAAGAGAGGAAAAATAAAGAAACTATGAATGATTATAAATTCGTGAAATAGATACAGTTTTATAGATTACGGGTAGGAACCTACGCTGCATCTATTACTTTGAAGTCCTTGCTTATGAATGTCGTATGGTGCGAACAGTGTATCTGGTCGTACGGGTAAAAATAATTGTGGTTCCCGTTTGATTTTTTCTTGGTCTGAAAACAAAAAGGGGACAAGTTAGTGATATATTTTTATAGAAATCCAAGCTTCACCCAAATATGATCTTCACCTTGTGGTGACTGTATGATATCTGGTTGATTGTTGAGCGCATAATCGGTCACTTGTTTCAACGTGTACTCGACGAAATAAGTATGATCTCCGTGTGTAACGTCGAGCATTGAATTGTTTCTTGAATCCGGAGGAGTAATTATTGGTTGCTTCATGTACGGCTCGATATGAACCGGAGATGTCGAGCCTCTACGTCGATACATCATTAACATTACTGAGAGTATTGTGACGCCAAATGCCATTAAGCAACCGATAAGAAGTAAAATAAGTGGAACCATGCTTACTCCGCTGTCTAAAATGTTTAAACACATTACATCAACAATTTTTTTAATAAATGAAAATCGAAATTACTTCAATCAAACATGCTGAAGAGTTACCTGTATGCTTCTCGGAGTCTCTTAACATTATATCCTCTAACAAACTTACTTCGCTCTTTCCCTTTGCATTCACCGCGTACGTAACGAGGTAAAAATGCGTGGCAGGAAGAAGATCCGCCACTGCTATACGAAATATGGGTAAATCCGCGGAAACACTCGACGCGTTTACCCTTAGATTACCAGTGCGGACCTCGTAGGCCTCTAATCGGAACTCTTGTTTCAATCCACCATCGTATCCTGGCACGCATTCCACTTCTAGTATCTCGGAACTTTGATTCAGTGATGCCTTTATCGTACAATTATTCAAAGGATTTGGTTTTACTGTGAAGAGACGAAAATTCATATTAGCAGACTATTTTTATGGTTGTTAAACTCGTGGTCATAAAGTTCCTGTTACCTGCAGGAATGATTTGATAAATGCAGGGTGTTTCCTGTTTCCCTATTATGTTCCTACCCCAACACGTCAGAGCTCCGTAGTCTCTTTCAGACACTGGTGTATAAACGAGCTCGCTCATTGTCCCATTGTTACCATCAAACTTCACTGGTGCAACCTCGAAATTCTCCCCGCTGTTGTTGAATTCCCAGACGAATTCCACTTCGTTGGGATCAGCGTCGACCTCGCAGCGTACCTTCACTGATTCCTCCAGTGATGCTCCGATTACCGATACATCTTTCGCCTTGCAAACCGGCGCAACTAATAATAGGTTCATAGTTAACATGGGAATTATTTGTAACTTACCACAAAAATCATAAATTTGCAACTTACACTGTACACGTAATGTTACCACTGGACTCGTGGTCTCACCACGATCGTTGCTCGCAAGACACGTGTAATTTCCTGCATTGTCACGACCTATCTTTTGTAGCACGAGGCTCTGAGTACTCATGATTATTCCAGCTGAATAATTTTGCGTCAATACCGCATCCTACGAAGAGATGGTGATATTGTATTAATTGTAATTCAGTCGTATAGGAACTCGGTACGATTAAGCAACTCACGTTGTGCCTCCAAGTAATTTTATGGTGTTCCGGATTAGCAAGGACTTTGCATTCGAAATAAACATCGTCCCCTTCTTTGATCTTTTCAGCGTTTAAAGTGCTACCTAAGTGTAATTGTACTTTAGGTGGAACTGTGAAACAAAAGTGTTTAATTAGTTGATAAAATGATGAAAATTCCATGATACTTACATACTACATTTAATTGAAAGAAGTCTTCTAAATACGCGTCTGGCAGTGCTGGATTCTCTCCTCGGCACTTGAGGATCTTTCCATTGTCGTCCGGGATGGGTGAAAAGATGAGTGTGCTTAAAACCACCGAGGCGTTACCACTGTCGAGTATCTGTTACATCGAAACTTTTGTCAACAAATAACGTTGCTTTACAGAGATTCGTGATAATATAAAATCATTGTCGTTTACTTTGCCGTTGTGGTAGACGGTGTTCTTCTTCAACCAAGTGATTCGCGCTCGAGGATGAGATCCTATCGTTTCACAAACGATGGAATAGTCTTTCTCCGTCTCGAGAATCGTTGGTTTCGATAAAATTTTCACCGACAATGGCTTCACTGGAACGAGAAGAAGATGCGAATACACGAAGAAATTATTTAGAATGGATGAAATGAAAAACGTACAGTAAACGTCTAAGAGAACAGTCTTCTCTAACGGAGGTATAAGGTTTGTATTCGAGGCTCGACACTTATAAGTAGTGTTACGGTGTTCCCTTCTCAATTGAGGTATCATTAATTTACTGACAACTATATTTCGTCCGATTTCTTCCAATCTGCTATCCATTTCTTTTTCGTTCACCAACCAACTCACCACTGGCGTTGGTTTTCCTGAAATTGGAAAATTAAACAATTTATTATGACATGATAATTAAATGTCCGATTTGTAATCTATAGAAATAAGAATTACCTCCCCTTACTTCACAAGATAGACCAAACTCAACCCCCACTTGGAATGGTCCTGCTGTGTTCTCCACTTCCACCCCTGAACTGTCATAAATTAAGAGCTGATGTGGTGGAACTGAAAATAATAATAAATATTCAATTTTAGTATATAAGAAAAGAATTATTTTTAATTAGATAGACGTAGAATTGTACCTATCACGGTGAGGTTCACTTGAAAGTTTTTTGTGGGCGAATTTTTGAAATCAACCCTGCACCGATAGATTCCTTCATCGTCCAATTGAACCGCTTCCAATGAAAGAGCGGCTGGACTTGTTACGGTGACGAAAGAAGCTCTTGGTCCTACGACGGTGCTGTCCGACCAATTCAGAGCCTTATTGAATGATCTTCCTCGCACGTCGAAACTGAAAAAAATATTATTTTAAAGGTAGAGAACCTGGCTCCTTCAAACAAACTTCCAGTTCATCACTGTTTTCCAATGTTATTCAGGGTATAAATTAAAACCTGTAAATTGGTTTCACCGCATCGTCGCGAAACCAGAGCACCATGTATACGCGATCCTCTCGCGTGGACGGTTCAATGTCACAAGGCAACCTAGCTTTACGTCCAAGAACGGCACTGACTTCAAAAGTTGCCACTAAAAAAGAAGAAGAAATAATTAAAAATAATTTCTTCGATAAATAAATAACATATGTACGACAATGTGTTCCAATTTCGTTTCTAGTATTTCAAAATTTATTATTATTTCATTAATTTATATTGTGAAATTGTTCATTTCCAAACTACAATTAACAACAGCATTGTTTCATAAAATAATAAACCATCAAAGTTGAGGATATATAATACCTTTCATTAAACTGTTCAAACAACTGTAACATAATAAATAATTCATATATATTTAAAATATGATTAATTTATTCATATGAAAATAAGAGGAGAATAGTTAACTTATGGAATGTCCTAATAAACGTCTGAATGCATACTTCAGTGAATATGCTAAACGCTTGGTCAGCCATGTGACTGATCAATGCATACACTAACTACTTAAGATGCAACAATCTCGCCGAGTATTCGCTTGGAATACCGCTAATCTGCGTTCCAAAGGGATCTAAGTAGATACGTTGCATATTTGGCCAGACGTACACAAACCATCTGAATACCAATGAATTTTTAATGATCCATGGTAAATTTGAAAGTGTTAAATATTCAGTCGGTGGAGTTCGGGACGGATAAACGTACCTAAATCATCATCTTTATCCCAGTTTCCTGTGGCATTCACATAGACGACCACGGCGAGTATGTAACCGCTGATGATGAGCTTGATCGCGATTTCAGCTAGCGCCCCTATCGCCATCCCAAGGGGAAACACTCTGAGGGGAGAGTTGGGTACATTCAGATCCACTCTTTGCATAATGTCGCCCCGTGCCTGCCTATCCCGTCGCTCTTCTTTATTATCATTCCACGTATAAAGAGGTAGACGATCTCCTCCCACCTATTCTCGTCCTCGGGAATAAGGGCGCAGGACACCGTTCACCGATTAATTCTGTTGCCACGAGAATTTTTCAGCCGAATGTCCGACCACTTATCGCTTGTAACGTGCATCGAGGACAGATCACTATTTTCTAATATTTTGATGCTGGACTTAGGTATACCAGGCTGTGTTAGATCGATGTACGTAGAAAGGTGTTGGAAAATTATTGTCGTTTTTCACTAGTGTGTAGAGAAGCACCGGTGTATGATTAATCCGTGTGTCGACAAATGGCGATAATCGTATGAGAGGAAGGATACCGTGTAGGTTCTGCAGCTTGCGATACCACGGAATTCTATTCTAAATAGTTTCATGGATTAGCCCGTTTCACGACGGAAGTCTTCGACGCGTTCTTCCCTTTCTCTGTTCTCGGGTTAACTTGTGAAGCTGCGACAGCATCCGTTCGTCTTTACGGGCCACCACACAGTGTGACGACCGAGGAACAAGCGAAATTTCACTGGATCACTGTAGCGCCAGTATCTGGCGAGCACCGTACTCGCACATTTTCCAGGACAGACTGGAAGAAGGAACGTTTCGTATCGTTTCGGTAACACCAGGCGGCTCTCAACATTTGGAGGGCTGTCTCGGCGGAGGACAGCCTAGGGAGAGCCTAGGGAGAGACTAGGGAGAACTTGCACCCCTAAATGGATGCTTTCTCGTTACCGCGTCGTTGCGAATTGACACACGCAATGCTTTTACAGAAGCGTCGCTTACCCGACGACGATGAGCGCCGATCGATTTTCCTAAAGTCAGTCTCTGATCTCGCTTCGTGTTCCGACGCTCTCGATTCCTACACGATATATCGCCTGTAGAACGGCAAACGTGTCGGCGATGCACGAACATTGGCGAACATTCACGACCTCACGCATCCGTTGCGGACGTGGATGAATGAAATAAATTAAATATTGATAATAATATTAATTAAATACAATGCAATTAAGAGACACGGATCTGCGCTTGCAATGAAGGTGTTAATGTCTATCCCGTTCAGAAATATTTATGATTTTGTTATAGGTATTCGAAAGCAAAAGTTGAGATATTTTGAAATGAAATGAGGACTACCAATATAATTAAATTATTGGAAATTGGAAAAAATAAACTTTGAGTAATATTAGCGTTATATCAATTTTACCCTTCCAGTTCTCTTCTCAACTTGGTCCTCGGTTTACGATTTCCATTTCCTCAGAAAATTCTTGGAGAACCTAAATAGAAATGGAGATTAAGACTATGCGGAGGATGTATTATTAACTTGTCTTGAGTTCTTTTAGCAGATTTCATAAATTTATAGTACACTGGTCTTTCTTGATTCCACAATATTATTTTCTCACAGTGAACAGATTCGAAATAGACTGATCGATGTTGATGTATAAAAACAGTTCAATATTTAAATAATATAAAACAAGAATCGTACCATGTTGGAATAAAATTAGTACTATTCTTTAAAAAAAGAATCCAATTTCTATAAATTGGAGAATCCAATATCTATAAAAATAAAATGGTTAGATCCTTGAAATATCCATTAATTTATAAAGTAATAATATTCTCAAAATTTACCTAAATTTAAAAATGACGAAGATCCTAATTTTCTTCTCCAAATAATTACTTGTACGTGTGTGTGGTTGGAAGTCAGAAAACCTCTCCTGTTAATAATGACATTATATTTGAAATAGTAATGTTTACAACATACAATTGCGACGTTACTACAGTATTATTATTATTTATTTATTTTTTTTGTAATTTTCTTTTTCTTCGGTTTAAGATAATTGATAATGTCTCGCAAAGGTCACGCACTGTCTCGATTCATCCTGGCCATGTATGTTTTACAACGTTGTTCTCTCCCCTTTCTCTCCCTCTCTCGCGCTCATCACTTTCTCTCTCTCCCTCTCACTCGCCTTTGGAACGCACGAATTTTCTTTTATTTTTTCCACAAACCTGGATCCACGTTCTAATCGCATGTACTAACGTGTCGAAAAATAAACATGGAGAAGTTGGATGAGTTGAAAAATTGTGGAGGTTCATTTGTCGGCGGAGGGTTGAAGACGGGGGGCTCGTAACCGAAGTAACAGGATCGGAAATTAATTTTCTTTTTTCTTAGTATATTGTCATATTGGTGTCTGTTTTAAGTTCTACGCGTTCTCCAAGATGGGCGAGATCGGTCCATTGGAGAAAATCTCGGGTCACACGGACTACAAACTGCTTTCATTACTTTCCTTAAGTGTTTTCTATTTTCTTTCTGTCTTTTTTTTTTTTTTTCTTTAGTTGATCACCGCATGCCACTTCGTATTCGCGTTCGTTTGCCTTAACAATAAGCAATGAGAACACGACTTAGCACTGGTTCAACCAAGTGTTCGACCTGCTTTTTTCATAATGTTTTTTTTTCCTCCATTTCCTTTCATCCCCTTAGCAACCGCTTTTCTATGTTTAAACGTACTGTGACCTATGGACTATGGCACTTGGTGCAACTAGTTCGGATTTCTTGGATACTGCTTACATTGTGTAAGGTACTTAATTATTATCATTATTGTTATTTATTTATATATATATATATATATAGATTTTTGTATATATATATAATATTTATATATTTCTTATATATTTATATTTATATGACACATGGTAATTCGTGCGTTTCATTATAATACAGGCGTGGGCAAGGTGATACAGTCAATTTACTTTTTTTTCTCTCTTTTCTTTTATCTTTGCGATTAGATGTCGCGTTGAGCCAGTAGAACGATACAGTGTTGGATCAGACACACGGTTTCTGAATGGAAATCCTCGAGGAAGCATTTTACATTTCCCTTTTCCCAGCGTCTACGATCTTGGTAGAATTAACAAAAATATTGTTTATGAACACTTTTGCAACATAGAAGAAGATAGAGATAATTGGTATCAGGAATTGTTGAAGAGTTCAGAGATAAATATTAGGTCGTTCCAAAAGTTCATCATATTCTATTTTATAAATAAAGAAAATAAAACCTGTAAAATAGATTGCAAATAAATACTGTAAAAATATATTTCTTTTTAATTAGATAAATTTGAAAATTGACCGTTCTATGTTGTATGAGTTTTGAAAATTTACCAAATATATTGTAAATAAAAACTTATGGAACGATCTAATAATTATCAGTAAAAGTCTGCTGAAGACTTTGCATTCGAGGATGATCTTATTCGCTGATATTACCCAGGGTTTTAGTAAAAATAAACTTGGCTGCATCGCCTTGGATAAAACGAATTAATATCTGTATATCGGCTTACTAACTAAGGTTCTATTATACATATTAATAATACAGTTGTCGACGCGCGAACATTAATAAAAGGTATCGGGTCCAGTGGTGAAGCATGTACATGTTTGAACAGTCCTTTTAATTATAAACGCTCTTGATCAATCAGTCATAATCATCCAACCACTGGGCCCGTTACCTTAATCATATAAACGCAGAAGAAAAGAATGAAGAAAATCAAGTGCAGGTGCGAGTTTATATCTTAAAAAAATGATCGTACAACGAACGCTGTATCATAGTCTTCACTTGTCGTTTCGTATCTTTGCTCGTCGCATTTGCATTCACAACTGCACTGTTTGTTTTTCTTCGGCTAAATTTACGTCTACACTCTATACACAGTCTGTCAGTTTCGCCCTAAAAAAAAAATTCTTCCTATACACCTATAGGCCATTGATTTATTTTGTATTCTTTTCTTTATGTTAAATCATAACATTCTCCTTTTGTGCACCGGGAAAACTTAAATGAAATAAGATTCATTTTCAATTCCTGTGTAGACGTTTTTCTACAATTTACAAGGAAACTAAGCGAATTGTTTTTCTTGAATTTCAAGGAAAATTCTATTTCAGAGATTATGGAGTATATTTGTAAAGGTGGAATATTTAAAATTAGAAATTTAGATTATTGGGAAATTAAAATATAGAATAGAAAATTAGAACATTAAATATTCAATAACCCTCCAAATTTTCACGAAAATCCCAGAAAAACACTTCGACACAATGTTTCCCTTTTAAAACATCCCTGTGTGTTCCGCGAATGAATGAATATAACATGTATTAGCACCGGTCTTTCTTTCTCTCGTATTAATTTTTTTTTTTTTTTATTATTTTCTCTATTTCGTAAAAATAAAACGTAAAGAATAATCGAACGTGTAATACTTAATCGTGTTACAATATATTCCGCTCAGAATGCATTGGCACTACGCGGAGTTCATCTTATTTCCCTTATTAGAAGCTGATCTCATTAATCGTGCAAGATTGAATTGCTTCTGTTTCGTGTGGTGTCTCAATATCCGTATTATATCTTAAAGACATCTTACACCTAGTTTATAACGCGAATTATGTGAAAAAAATTAGTTCGATTTATTCATAGAAAAAAGTCTCTCGATCGAGTGATTCGTAGATCTTTTTTTTTTGTTTTGTTTTGTCTTTATTCTCGTTAATCGTCGCCTTCGAATTTACTTTTTCACCGTTTCTCGCTTCCTTTATATCCCTTATTACATACATATATTATATATATATTTATAATCTAAAGCGTTGAAAATCGAGTTTAATTAAACACACGAATCTGTGTTGAAACGTTGTTACTTAGAAAAAAAGGAGTACAGTTCCTTGAATTATTCGCGTTTAATCACGCTCAAACAGTATCTAAGTGAGATATATTTACAATTTTTTCTTTAAGCTTATTGTACATTTTCACGACGTCTCGTGAAAAATAGATGTTCTCTTCCTTCGCATTTTTCTTCGTGTCATTACTTCTTTTCTTTAATTATGAATCACGAATCGATCGCATAATTATTCCTCATACTTAAGACACTATTATAAGTAAACACACAGTGGAACGTGATCTCTTTTGAATCAAGGAATACAAGTTCATTATCGGTTCGGAAGCACTAAATGCTTTGGATCGTTCAGTGGTTAAAGTAGACCTCAATATACAAAAACGACAATTATTTCCATGTATCTTCTTGTAATGTACGAAAATACAATGTAAGGCTGTGCTTTCACACCCGCGAAATTCGTAACTAAATCCAGTTCCTAATTTTACTACTTCAACCCTTTCGCTATATGTAATGTACACATATATCATGAAAAATCAAGAATAGAGGAGATATTTTTATTTGGTGGAGTTATATCTAGAATTCATAATTAATGGGCCAAGAAATTTACTTGCAACTTACTATGAAACTTTCAACTTCCTTAAATAATAAAAGAAAAATTATTACATCTTTTAACATAATTCTAGTACAGATAATAAAGGAGTATCTATTTTATATGTCTGTAAAAGTTGGAACAGAGAAGATAATTTATTATTGAGAAATCATAATTATTGAACGACATGTGACTGGCACAGTAGTAATACCTACGATTAGTCAGTCACAGTAGAAATAGTCCGCGATTAGTCCGACGCACTACAATACCGACTGCTAAGAATACTCGGTATCATTTTTGTAACCTAATGCTTCTATTCCCTGTTTTCATCTTTATTTTTCAATCATTCATTTACATCACAGCGAAAGGGTTAATCTTCCAGTTTCAGTTTCAATGAATCCAGAATTTCCCGAATGTATTAATTATTTTGAGCTCCATCAAAAATTCCCATATCTATTACACATATAACTGTAACAGCATATCTGTTAGATACCGCATGTATGTATTTATACTTAAAAGCATTAGGTGTACGTTTATTTTTTTTTTCTTTTAAGGCCATGGTATGTAAACCTGTCTTCGTGTTACGAAACGAGGGAACTATTTTCAAAAAATCTTTCAATCATTTCTGGCTGTTTATATGGTATTTACAATTCTAATAAATAGTCTTAATCGTAAAGTTTTTTCCATCCGAGAACAAGCATATCCGTCGTATACCTTTTTGCAGGCACGATACACCTTGATTCCCTTGCCTACATATTTTTCACCGATGCGCCGAGATTCGAAGAGAAAAATCACATACGATTATCATTTTCTGTTAGAGAAGAAAATTTTTATGGATAAATTTGTAACTATCGCTTTTCCATTTTCTAGTTATGTTCACGATACTGCAGCGATGCAACGGAACTAGAATAAAAAATAAAGAAAAAAATTAAAGAAATTAATGAAAAACGACGCCAATGACAATAAGGATACGAACAAAAAAAATAATAATTACAATTGGTAATAATATATTTTTTTTTATATAATCGTATAATATATATATTTATATATAATTATGTATATAATTATATATAATTAATATTTACAAAATACGTTTTGTGGTATTAGTTTTTGCGGACTCGTTTTTTTTGTTTCTCTCGTTCCTTCTTCCTCGCTTTTCGTTTGCTTTTGCACATTTTGTTCATGAAAATTTCATATAATATTAATCTAACTAATAACTTTTTCTACCGCAAAAACATAACCGAGAGAACTATGGCAACTAACGTAATTAATGGCAAGTATTTTGCTGTTGAAAGGTCGGTGTAAAAGTTATCTTTTCGGTGGACAAGTACACAATGGAATGAAACAATGACAAGAGAAAGGAAGATGTGTGTAAGTGTATTGTGATATAAAATGAAGAGAAAGAAAAGAATAGGAAAAGATCTGATAAATTAAAATGCAATTAACATGACACTTAACAAAAGAACACTTTACACTCACGATAATTCGAATATTGGACAAATGTACAATGATGAACGAACGAAGTGGAACGACGAAAGTATAATGCAGATCGTATGTATATATATATATACATATATATGTGTGTGTATGTGTGAATTATAGTAAATGCATTAACCCAATAGACGTACACACTTACTATAAACAATATATTCACATATTAATTTGATAAATAAAATGTATATACAAATAAACCTAATTAAAACTTTTGTTTCTCAATCATTAAACTAAAGTGATTCACTTGAAAATTGGTACATAGTTCAGATACTGAATTAGAGCTTGATGTGAATATATTGTTCAGTAAATATATAGAATTAATACTTTTACTATGACATATACATGTACTGAATTAACATTTTTTTACTGTGACATATATAATGAAACAAGAAGGAAACATTGTATTCTTTCTGCAGTATGCGACACAACTTCAACATTTACCATGTGTGTGAACAGATCTGATTACAAGAACAGTTTTACGTACCAATTTTTTTTATCTTTAAACGTGTTCTATGCGTGTACATTTGTGTGCCTTATTCTTTCTATCATTTTCATCTCATCAATTGAAATTCCGTTCACTTTTTATCCAGAGAACAATTGGTTGACTTTATACGGGAATACAACGAGTTCAAACACAACAGATTTCTATTGCTGATCAAATCTTACATTCTAAATACATCCAACAACGAGAAACAGAAACATTAGAATCGTGCCGCAGCCGAGCATGAATCGTTCAACGACTCCTGATTTTTCATTTCTTCTTCTTTTCCAAAAGTTTTGTGCAAAGGCTTCGTTTCTTTTTCTACATCCACACGAGCCAAGCTTTGACTTTTCAATACTTCATCTAATCAGAATGTGCTTGCTTTTTTTTCTTTATTTAAAGATGAAATGGAAGCCACTTGGAGAATCGTTCCATAATAAGAGACCATAAAGTAAAAAATGTTCGCTGCTTTCACGGCTGCTGCGCAAAACAATGTTCGTTATAAGAATTATTCAACATACTTTGAAACTGTGAGAAGATAGAAATCACAGAAAAAATGCTTATTCCAACTTAATTGCTTTTTATGGTAAATCGTGAGTCGACATTGAAAATATAGAAAAATGGTTGCCACAGTTTTCTTCCTGCAACTTCTTTTTGTTGTAAATACATAAAACAGATAAACATATAAACAAATATTTAACATTTTGTAAATAATACTCAAGACAGTATATCTATAAAAAAAAAAAAAAAAAAGAAAAACAATCGACAAAATAGATTTTGGTAATTTTATTATAACTTAGAGAGCACGTGAAATTTTTCGGTACGATAATGTTCAAGTGTTACCGTACTGTTTTATGTTTTCCTTTTTCTGTAGTTCCTCTACTCCAAGTTTCAAGTTTAATAAAAGGGGAAGAAAAACTTATTCGCGGACGAATGTTATTTAAACAAAACAACAGAGCGTATAAAGAGTATCACTCGATGAACGTAAAAAGTTGTTCGTTTTTAATGTGCACATATGAAAAATGCCTTTGAAATACATTTCAATTTTCTTCTTTTTCCATTTACCCTCAGTGCACATAATATGTTTGACATTATATATAGTTATACTATGTATAATATGACACTGCTGTGTATAATACTACGGACCTTAGGTCAGTAAAGAATTCAAAGGCAATTCTCATGTACCATTACCCATTCTACCAAATGATATACAAAATTACTACATACAATATAATGAATTACGAGACTTCGTAAAATTTTGTATGCAAACAAAATTTTACCCATAATGTGATTTCATTATTTTTGTCTACTTATTTTAATATTCATCATTTGCATAAATGGATGTGGTTGCGTCTAAAATTATCGCTAATAGGCGCTTTTTTTTCTTCATTTGCTTTTTCTGTTTTTTTTCTTTTTCATACAAGAGTCCGCCCTTGGAATACAATTATAATAATACGATTAGACTTTACAGCTAACATAATATTAAAAAAAATCGGATTACTTTAAAAATTCGAGATTACTTTTTTTTGTTTTTTTAACACTGTTCCTTGGACAGTATATAGTTTTCTTTTTTTTCGTTTTCCTCGTAAATCTTGGCTTATTTTTCTTTCTCACTGGTATACACCAACATACATTAATTATGTAAATCCTTTATCTTTTAAATTTATTTTAAATATTTTTTACTTTGTCTTATTATGCACTTCCCCCATCGGGTAACTTAGGGCCATCACTATTCACAATGCAGATAGTAGAATCGAAGAATTGTAATATGTGTATTTATGAGGTACACTTACATCGAAAAGAAATTTTCTTAGAATTGTATAGATGGTTGTTCCATTTTGATTATTCGAGTTGTGAATTTTACATATCACATTTTTTAGACATCCGTTTCAGTCTGTTATTTAGGGATCTTCGGTTTCACAGGCTTGTCTTCCATCCTTTCAAATTTGTACCACAGATATTATAAAGTCGCACTTGCCTGGAAGCTAGCTGTTTTGGTTACCTACAATTCCATCAGTATGAGAATACACAAATATTCACTTCATACTTTTATGTCTTAACTCACTGGTATATGAAGTTTCATTTAATTGTGATTGTAAAATTTCTGTAATATATCTCACATTTTACATGATGTCGACGTACTTCTGTCTGAGTAGCAAACAGCCCCATTCATTTAGTGTTGCAGTTCGTTCGCGTTTATTAACGATACGAATTATACACAATTTACATTAGCAACACTATGTTTTTTTTAATCGTGAGCTTAGTGAGAGTTATTTTTTAATTAATGCTCCTGCATTGCATAAATTGTTTTCCTTGTTTAATGAGTCCTTTCTTTTAACTTGTCGTAAGATCACGGACTTGTTTTTAATACCGACATATACACATCTTTACTTCCATTTCTTTACACATATTCACTGCACTTCCTTTTTTATATACGAAGTTAACATTTAAAGAAACTTAATGAAAAGTCACATGGGAAGTCTGTTACGTGTTTCCAGTCGATTAACGATTAACCGCGTGTTTTCTTTTATTACATGTTTAAATAAATTTGGTGTTACCTATTAAGATTTGTTCATGTAAGAAATCCATTGTCACTTGCTCTTTTGCTTTCATCAATTGTTTACTTTTTGTTGCGGAGTTCTTTATTACATAATCTAAGGGGAACAGAAGGTTGATCTTATGAAATCACTTTCAACAAAGAACAAAAAGGAAAGGAAAAAAATATCTAATAATGTATCATTTGTATCAAGATGTACATTAATATAGTGTACTAATTTACTAATAAAAAATATACTATCTCTATGAGAATGACAATGATGATGATAATGATGACAATATAATTCGATGATTCGAATGACAGTAACGATAATGATAATGATAATGGTAATAATAATAATAATAATAATAATAATAATAATGATGAAATTATCGTAAATTGGAACACGTTAACAATAACGATATCTTTACAAATTAACAAATACAATGGGGAACACGAAGGAACAAATATCATAATAAAGAACTCAGCAACAAATTATTTTTTGTTTGCAATATGTTGGACTTACAGATTCAATGTCATTTGATTGTTTTATTTAGTTTAGGTTAGTTCCTAGTTGACCATAAGTGTATGTGACTCCATTGGTGCTGCACTATCATACAATGTGTCTGTATCTTGTGTAGGTTCACCTTGAAGTTGACACTGATTACTTAATGTTCCAGCACCACAGTCACAGAAGAATCTGAACAAATGAATTAGTTGCTAATATATTACATAATCTTACACATTTTTTTCTAATCCCCTGCCACACATTCCTTTCGTTTACTGATGAAACTATTAACAGTACTTACCGATCGTGTCTAATGAATTCTACATCGTGTCCAGCATGACAGGTTTTTATGCAATTAACACAAATTGCATTACGATCTGTCGTATTACATGTTTGACAACGATAGAAATCGTGCATAGGGAAAGAGGTGTACGACGATATTTTGTACAAACATTGGCCATTTCCAACAGCTTTTTCAACTGCATCTTGATTATTAAATATTTTATTGCCTGTAAAAATGAAATCAACGGTTATTACTTCTTCTTACGAATAAGATGTTATTTTAAAATTAAAGAAAAAAAAACAGGTTGACCTCTAGTTGTTGGTTGAACTCCGCTCGCTAAACACAATCCACCGAATCTATTATTGAAAATTTGATTAAATTCCAACGTAGCCGTTGCATTGTTTGTTATTTCAACACCAGCTGCTAATCCATCGAAAATTCGGTTCCTCCTCAATACAGGATGAGACTGTGTGGATATAAGCACGCCTGCTTGCGCGTTACGAAATATATCGTTTTCTTCGAGAACACCTGAATCATAAAAAGAAAAAAATTATGTAGACGACCAAAGTTTAAGTTAAAACGATCGGCCAAAATTAGAAACGTACCTTTGCCACCATTAAATATACAAATCCCACCGTCCCGCCCATCGAATATCTTGTTTCTTTTTAACGTTGGATTACTATCAGTTTTAATCCAAACTCCTGCCATTGCATTATCAAAAATTTCATTTTGTTCAAGTAAACCTAGTCCACTATTATACACAAGTACACCACCATTTTGTCCACCCCAGATTTTATTCCCACGTATTACCGGATTGCTTCCAGTTCTAACATTAAAGAACATATATTACTACGAAACACAAACAAGATATTTCCTTTCATTAAAGAATATATTACCTTATTTGTACTCCTGAATACAAATGATTGAAAATATCATTGTCTTCTAGTTTTCCATGTCCATTATCATAAAAATAAACTCCGACTTGTTTTCCACTATGAATACGATTTCTTCTTAGTACCGGCGTCGATCCGGTTGTTATCCAAACACCTGCTAACGTATTGGCATATACTTCGTTCTCTTCAATTAATCCTTGCCCCTTCTCGTGTACATAAATACCACCATGTTGACCATGATGTATTTTATTGTGTCTAACAATAGGGTCTGAATTTGTTCTTATTTGTATGCCGGCCAAGGCATTACCATAAATGTTATTATGTTCGATTAAGCCTCTTCCTTCTCCGAATATATATACTCCGCCTTGATGACCATTGTAAATTTCGTTTCTACGAATAGTTGGATTTGAATTCGAAGTGATCCAAACGCCAGCAAAATTATTCGAATGAATTTTGTTGTCGATAAATTGCCCTAAACCGTTTTCATGTACATAAATACCACCGGTCTGACCGTGGTGTATTTCACAATGTACAACCGTTGGATTAGCACCAGCTTTTACTTCGAAACCTGCTATTCGATTATTATGAATATCATTAGCCTCAAAGTAACCAAGACCATTGTCAAACGTGAAGATTCCAACATCCCTTCCGTGATGAATATGATTCCTTCGCATTATCGGATTCGCATAATTTTTTACCCAAATCCCGGCTAACGCGTTTCTCGAGATTTCATTGTCCTCGTAGGTTCCTTGTGCATAATCGGTGACATAAAGGCCAACGTTTTCGCAATCCGATATGTCACAGTTCTTTACTACAGGATTCGCTCCAACACCCGACACGCAAACAGCTGCTCCAACTATAACATAGAAAAGTCAATTTTTAGTTAACTGAAATATAAAAATTCTAAAGTGAATTATTTTACAATACGATAAAGTTACTTACCGACACTTGAACTCCTAATAATACAATGATCGACAGTGGGACTACAGTTTTCGCCAACTTCTAAACAATAATGTTTATGATGCGGTACTGTACTGGTAACGTCTGGGGTAAATTTTAATGTAAGATGGCCGGCATAAGCTCGTTTCGCTCCTTCTACAAACATAACTGTAGATTCGCTTTCTCGTTCCAATATAACAGATTCTGCCACGTTTCCGGGCGCTGCTCCGATTAATGCAACGTCGCTATCAATTACGAGAAATTCGCCTCTATAAATTCCAGCGTGTAAGAAAACTAAATGTTGAGGTGCTTCTTCAGCTGTATGAGAATTGTTTCCACAACAATTTCCTTGACCGCTTGTAGTTGTGCTATTATTTGACGAGGAACCGCTATTGCTTCTATATTCATCTACGTAATCTAGTGCTCCCTGAACTGTATTAAAGTATGGCAAATTACGACCTTTGAACTTCAAATCCTGAAATCCTGGCCTAACGTGTACTCCCCTATATAATTGTCTAAAGCTTTCTTTCCATGGATTTGGATAGTCTGATTCGTCCGGGGATACGAATTCAAATTTACAAGGTGCAGGATTGAATAGTGGTAAGTCGTATTCGTAAACTTGCTGATACAAAGACTTCCACAGTTCAGTGTCGTTTGCAATTGTTTGAAAACGTTTGCAAACCTGTGAAACTCTACAAAGATCCTGTTCCATTAGATAATTAAATATAGTAAGCAGCACTTCGTCTGGTAACTCATACTGAAGGTAATGTGCTGCAGTGTTTGTATTTGTACCTGAAAAATAATACAAGAAAATTTATAAAATTCTTTAATTAAGATATTTGTAGGAAAATTTAATTGTTAATAAATTGTACCATCTGTGGATAATGAACACGTCCGTCTGGGCCGTTTTCTTGCTGGTAAAGAGGAAGAACCAAGAGTGGCTCCTATACTACTACCCCCCGAAGGAGGTAGAGCAGAACTGGTACCAGGCGCAGGATCTGGATGAGGTGGACTTTTACGTCTTAAATCGTATGGAGATGAATGTGAATGCGATGGGGAAGGTGACGGTGCTGCAACACCAGAAACACTAGGTGAGGATCCTCTTCCACCGCTTCCACCCCCACCTCCACCTCCTCCTCCTCCTCCTCCGCCAACTCCACCACCAGGTGGTATCTGATTTGATGCTGAACATGGCAAATCGCATGGCTCGGCTAAAAAAATACAAAAACAGCTAGTAGTATAAAAATTGGTATGCGTGAAGTATTATTTTGATGGAACTAAAAACTTTCAATTACTAATTATAAATACATATTTCAAAACCTGTAATGTTACATTAAAGTTACTATTGGTCACTGCAATTAGAAAATAATGCATATACATAAATCATCATTTAAAAGTCAAAGTAAATCATGAACATACAGTGTAAAAATCAATATTTATTGAGTTAATACAGGCAAAACAAAATATGTACTTTAAGAAAAATGCTGATGTAGAAATTAGGCCATACTATATTCTTTGTATTTGGCATATATCTGCAATTAGCTACGTAACCATATTTTAGGGCAAAAGTATCATAATTGAATATTTAAAATAATAAGAACACTTTCATTTATATTTTAAGAAGATACAAAGTGATTTGAAGAAAAAAAAAAAAAGTAGAACATTATACAAATGTAATACAAAATCTGTGGCTGGTGCAATACCAGAGGAAAAGAGGCCTGACCTTTTGTCTTGAAATTACCAAGAGATTACTTTTCGAAATCACACGAGCATCGGTAGTAAGTTTCGTACAGCTGGACATTTAATAAATCGGAATTACAAAAAAAAGGGGGTGGGGTGAAGAGTAGACTTTGAGCCGACATTTCACAGTAAAATTTGACGATCGCGAAGTACGAAAGTTACTTATCGTGATCAATGTCTCTGAAAAAAAAGGGCTGGGGCATAAGTAGTAAGCGTATGTTGATTTTCGGGAAACGTCATTGATGCATCAGATCCGTATTTTTCGGCCATCCCGAGTGTGGGAAAATCGTGTATATGAAGACGTGGGCAGTAGGTTTGACGGAATTGTACTGGGAGTTTCAACAATAAAATATAAATAGGAATAAGGCGAGGAATGTCGGTTAGTCGGTACCATGCGGAATCGCTCTAACGATTAACCTGGGGATATCGAAGTAGGTGAAGGCAAAGAAGAGAGTCGAGACAGGTGAGCAGTGAACCGAGCTCCGGATGCAGGGCTCTTACCCGAGGTGGTTCTCGAAGGCAGCGGAATCCTGTTTGCACCTTTTCTTCGGGATCTTCGCACGTAATTGCGCGACGATGTGAACGACGCACTTGGCATTTTTATCGGTGCTTCCCGTAAAATTATGCGAGAAACGGTAAAACAACTAAACACTAAACAATGGCGACACTTCCACCGAGCCCAGCGGCCATCTTCTCATTGACGGTTGGACTGCCGACTGGTGCCAGACCGCCAATCGGATGAATTTCTGCTCTTCCCCTCTTTCTTCGCCGACCACCCTTCTTCCTATGCGATCCTTCTCTCTCGTCTTCTACCCCTTACCGATCCCCTCTTCTGCAGTAGATCGCGACACAAGCAACCAACATCAGTTTGGAGTTATGGAGACCGCGAACCGAAATACTGATTTGTCCTGCATATCCGCTATTTTATCATGTTTCGCTCTCTCAGTGGTATATGTTGCAAGCCTTTATGTGTGGAGTTCACCGTACAATAGGTACGTACACCGATTGACAACGATAAACTTCAATCTTTAAATGTCCATTTTGTGCGACCGTCTACGCTCTCGGTCCTTTAACAGTGAACCACAAGGAACCACGAACAAAGTGTAACTGTATTCACGTCGCCCAAGAACATGAATGCCTACTCTTTGATTCTCCCACTCACGCAGTCGCTATTCTGGACAAGAATTGAGTCTACAGCGCCTCTGTTGGCCAACTATTTCCTTCAATTCCTTCTCCAATTGGCGCGCCATTTAAAAGTTATTATACGACAAGTTATTGATTTTAACTTTTAACTTTTATCATCTTTTTATATTTCTTTATATTCTTTCTTTTTTGATTAAAAAAATACAAAAAGATGCTTAAGGAACAAAGAGCAAATAAAATTCTAATGCAATTTTTTCTTTGCATTGCAGGGAACATCCAACGACAATAAAAAAGAGATTTTTTAGCGTTTTCATTATATCTCTTATATCTCCTGCATTCTTGTATTTTGGAATGAATGAGAAAGTATTCCAAAAGGTAATTAAATGCAATGATGTAGTAATTTATATAATAAATCCCATGTTGTAATTTATAATTTTTAGGCAACAATTTGGGAGTTATTGGGTTTACGATGGCCGGGTTTAATTCAAGCAGTTGTGATACCATTATTATTAACAATGATACTATTTCTAGGGCCATTAAGTGTACAAGGTTTTAATGGGCTTTGGAGGTTATATGCTGGTTAGTTTCTCTATTATTTATATATCAAATGTATAACTAAGCTATATAACTATATACTCGTACATTTTTAGAACCTATGTATTGGCTTGGAAACGTACGAACATTAACATGGTGGAGAAATCAAGTAGTTGCACCTTTGTCTGAAGAATGGACATTTAGAGCATGTATGTTACCATTGCTTCTGCAATGTTTTACACCAACTACTGCCATATTTGTAGGCCCCTTATTTTTTGGGGTTGCTCACTTTCATCATGTAGTAGAAAGAGTAGAAACAGGCATGAAACTTAAACATGCACTTTTTATATCCTGTAAGTAATTTTTGTTTTTGTTAATTTTCAGTGAACACAAAGATGTAGACAAACATGTTATAATATTCTTTTCTCAGGTTTTCAATTTACATATACAACATTATTTGGAGCATATGCAGCTTTTCTTTTTGCTAAAACAGGTAGTTACAATAATTTTTATATTTCATTTAACAACACATTTTTTCATTTATATCTAAAACCATGTATTTCTTCTTTTAATAGGACATTTAGCAGCGCCGTTTACGGCACATTCTTTTTGTAATTATATGGGATTTCCTGATCTTTCTGAGGTTGTAGCATTTAAGGGTCCTTTAAAGAGAGCTGGATTGTTTTCTTTATTTGTAATTGGATTAGTAGCCTGGTGTTTTTTATTAACACCAATGACGAACCCGTCATTATTTCATAATAATTTATTTTGGCATAAACATTTTGTATGAAGAAGTGATTGATTTTGCAACAATGTCACTAATGTTACTTATGATTTTATGAAAAAGATCAATTTAATTCGAAACTCCGTTAATTTCAGATTGCATGATATTTTTGATAAAATAACTATAATGATTGCAAAATTATACAAGATTTCATCAAAAGACTAACGGGTTTTTCTAATATAGAAGACAATCGGAAAAATTGGTTTCCGGTCAAATCGTACATTTTTCTGTGCAATCAAAGGTGTTGATCATGCAATATAGAAATAATATAAATCACCGTAGTGCCTGAAATTCAATTAAATTTATGTAGTTGTAATCATAAATACGAGTAACAACTTAGAGGGTTTTTCTTAAAATAAAAAACGTTAATGAAATATTATGTAGTTAAAAAATTTATGACATTGTTACAATAAACATGTTGTTTTGAATGACAGACAAGTTACTTCTATAAAATGTATCCTTAAAAATTTGTTATAATAACGATATATAAATGTAAAAATGTTTTCACTTTAAAATAAGTTGACTTTGTATTCTTATTACATGTATAAAACATGTAAGAATTAACAATACGTACATTTATTATTTATTTAAAACAGTTGTAACAGTATTACAATGTTTGCCATAAATGTGTATCAGTATTTATACAGACAAAAGAACATAAACAAATACATATGAGATAACATACTAGTACTTACAAATATCCTTTTACTTAAAAGGAAGGTTTTAGAATTCATTGCTACGTGTATTCTATACAGTATTGAACTGATACATTTACTACAGAAATTGTAATCGTAATTTGTTGATAACAAAATGAATTTTTCCTAAACAAAGAAAAACTTTAAATGTTGAATTGAATATTTATATAAATATTTACATTGCTTCAAGCTGTAAGGTTACTTAACAAAATCTATTATATTGAAATATAGAATGTAATTGGATTCATCCTTTTTGTAACATTATAATATAGAACATTATACACTTTTGTAACTCTCGTTTCCCTCCGAATAATTTAAATAATTATACATTGTATCTAGTACTTTATTCAAATGTTTACTTAAGAAAAAGGGAGATAAAATATAAAATCCTAAGTAATGCAAAGAAAGTGTATATTTTAAAGCTAAAACTATACTATTACTTATTAATATCACACTTATTTATAATTACAATTTTTATATCTCAGTTACCCTATCACTTTGATATTGCATTACTTGTAAATAAAACTATTTTTTTTAGAAACTTACTGTTTAAACTAAATATATTAACAAGGTTGTTATGCTAGGAACTGACATTATAGATTTTTTTGTTAATAATTCACAATAAATTATTAGATAGGAAAATAAATAAGTAAATAAATGATACCGACAATGAGATGTAAAAAATACTTTAACGAAATGTAAAACTTTTATGAAATATATTTTGATATTACCTTCAAGTTTGGCTAGGTCCAGGTGTTGTTTCAGCGTTTTGCGACTGATTAAGAAATATCACATTACCTGCCTTTAAACTCGGACCCGTAGATATAAGGGATGGACATGGACTAATGCGCGGCGTTGAGGAATGACTATTACTTAAATCACACTGATCTAACAGTTTCCAAAGTTCTTCTGGTGTAGGTCCACCAGAAACATCTGCAATTAAAATACTTGTTATAACGAGCGGTATTATATCAATGTGAAAAAAGAAAACAGCTGAATGATATTACTTCGAGTAGCAGAAAAGGATGGTTCTAATGCCGTTGTAAGATCCCACATTTGAATCGTACCATTGGAATGTCCAGTAAATATAAAACGCCTCGGTCTCGAACCCATACGACTGGATCCTTCGCATTCGTGTACATAAAATGAACTTATTATGCTACCATCCACTGATTTGATTACGCAAACCCTTTTGCCATTCGATGCTAAACGCACAAACAATTGATCAGTCTCGGGTACAACTTTTTGAACAAATACTTGTTCATCATCTTGTTCTCCAAATGGACCTGTGTCATAAAAAATCATTTTTATTTAGTAGAATTGTTAAGATTTATATAATACCTTTTCATATATCATACCAAAATCATTCCCAGCATTATAACTGATACAAGGTTCAATTGCTTCTAAAGATACAATTTTGAAACTAGCTTCAGGTGTTGGTCCTGGTTGAGTAGAGATCATTCCACGGAATCTTTTCACTGCCCAACTTCTAACATGGTTATATTCAGAACAAACTGATACCAAATATTTTTCTGACAACGTTACCTGTAATAAAGTTCACGATGTATGTACATCCATACATATTTTCTAAATTCATTATGACAAAATTCGGATACCTTCGTTACACTACTCTGATGTACTGTAAATGTCTGGAATAATTGCGGACCATGCCCTACAGTTTCAGGATGATGGACAATAACTCTTACACTGCCAGATTTTGTACCGTACGCAATCTCGATCCAATTCCCACACAGAGCTGTATAAACAAAGGAGACTAATTTTACATTAATCTATTTTCTTACGAAACATTAAAAATCTTTGATATGAACTACATTGCTTAATTTAGAGTGTAAGTGATCCAATATTGATGTTACATATAAGACATACTATAGAAACTGAAAAAATTCATTGTGCATGTGTATTTTATTTAATATAAAATAAGTAATCTACATATATATTACATGCTTCGTATCGCGATCGATATAGAAACAATATTTATAAAAAGATATATAGAAGATTCTTTCAGTTAAAATTATATAATTGAAGTTTATATGTGCTAGAAAATGCAAAAATGTATTTACAATATACTAAACAAAATTATAAATGTTAATAACAATATTTATACGTATTTGAAACTGTTTGAAAGAAAGAATAACTATGCAAGCAGAGGTACTTGTCTATTCTTTTCCCTTCCCCTCACAGATGCCGACAGGAAACATATAACTATGAAAGGAACAGACAAAGAATTGTTAAACAAGACAAACAAACTGCACAATCATTTCATTAGGAAAATAAATAGAAGATAAAGAGTTACGAATTTGCACAAGTACAACTGGATGTATAAGGACAGTGAGGCTGTGTATGTTTAATGCGATCTAAGACAAAAGACAGTTGTTATAAATGCTCTGAATTTATTGTTTATATTTTTCATTGTAACTGATTGAAGATTGTTATAGAAATGTGTAATCAATAAATGTGTTTATCTTGATTTAAAGTGAAACAAATCGAAGCTGCTTCTCTAATGTTGCAAAGAGTTTTAATTGCAAGTGCTGTCAAAGCAATGTATGAATATGAATTTGTGTACTGAGTTGATGTGGATTCACACATTATACCTGGAGAGGAAGGGTGTGGATACTTATATTCATATTAATGCATCATGTTCATTACAATATAAAATGTAGATACAACATGTCATTTTGAATTGTAATTTAAATATGAAAATATTATAGAACATTGTCATATCGACCCATACTTGCCTTGCGCTATTTATCCAGTTGTACGAAATCATGAAGCAAAGAATGTAATAATAAACTCTCATTAATATTTAAAGATGGTATTTGATTTTATAATAGAAGAGATTCTATGATGTGTTAATGTAATGTAGGAAAAATTTCTTTTATACTAACTAAGAATAAAAGAGTGAATCAGAGCGATGGTAAAAATTCTGTAATTGTATCAAAAATATAAGACATGAAGAAAAAAAACATAATGGATGCAACGTTTGTTATTACATTCCTCAATATAAGCAGATTTAATAATTATATTTTAATCCATTTATTTGTACGTCACTTGAAAAGGTACTTCTGCAATAGAGATACTGTAATACTCAATGTGATGAAATACAAGTTAATTATTGTTTACCTCGTGTTTAAATTATTCATTAAAACAATACTGTGATATGGTAAACATGAATAAGGGACTTACATGTTTTTGGTGTTAAATAGACAGATATGGCCGTAATGGGATCGTAATTCGGATCACGGTATAATTCTGTTACAAGCAAGTCATTGTCCTTCATTCTCAAAGGAAACTTTTCCATATCTAAAAATTAATATTGCATGTAGTCATTTATATTTCAAACATTATAATACATATCATACGTTTTAATTTCCATTACCGATGTAATAAATGGATCCATTGTTACACCCGAGTAGAAGAAAAGAACCAGCTGTGTCGAACGATAAAATGGGTACTACATCTTGTATTTGCCAATGATGGGTCATAGCATGCCAGACACCAATTTTATCAGTAGGAGACAGAGCAACTAACTGACTCCCGATAAAAAATAAATACTCCACCCGAACATTTAAATTAAATGTACCAATATTAGTTTTTATGCCATTGGCTGAAACACTCCATAATCTAACTTGATTTCCATAAGAAATTGCTACCATTTTAACATCTACACTGGTATTTAATTTCGAAGTGATTGCTACTCTTTCAATCACAGATTCAATGTGAGGACTAGTAAATGCATGTTGCCATCCAGATGAGTCTTTCAATCTGTAGCATGTTATAAAATGCGCATAAGCAATCACAATCCAATTATGATGTGCTTTTATAATTTGAACCCTCAATGGATCAACCCATGTTGAAACTATATCAAATAAAATGTATTATTACCTTTTACTGTAATATTTAAAATAATATTTATATCTATTTACCTTGTTGGGAACCAAATACTAAACTAATGTCATTTTTATGCAATTTATTTAGGTCTGCTAAATTATTCCTAGCGTGTCTTAAATCTAGAGATGATGTTCGCGAATGCGGCAAGCCTCTTTGTTGAACTCTATAATCCAATGAAGAATTTCTCACATGGGTACCAAACACCCCTTTATGATTTTGTTGCCCTGTAACACACAAACATTAAATTTTTACAATAATTCTTAAATGAATGAAGTAATATTTGTTTATTACCATTATTATTATTATTATGATTATTAGAAGTTCCAGGAGCTATACTTTGAGAAGTAGATGGTACATCTGCACTGGTAGCAGTACTAGTAGTTGTGGGAATCCTACCATGAACAGATACATCTCCTACATTTGATGCTACTGTAGTTGATTCATGTAATGGTATACCTTTGAAATTGAAATAAATAGTATAATTTGTGTGTTCATTTATTTATTCTTTTATAAAAAGAAATCGTTATGTGGAACTTACTTGGTGGTGGTAAATAACCATAAAATAATACATCTCCACAAGAGGATTGACTTAAATCTTCACACAGCATTAATCTTTTAACTAATGGTGTAATACCATAATATTCAGCTTCATGCCTTAATGTACGAAGGTCTACATTTTTTAAATCAATGTGCTTAGTACGTAGATAATTTAATATAATACTGAACAGCTTTGGGTCTCTATCTATGAACAATGCACCACTTTCATCTCTCTGACTGGTCATTCTAAAACTTAATAAACCTGTAAAAAATGAATCTCCAACCCATGTCAGTGTTTGTCTTGACGTTGAAAACCTAGATAATAAACAATTTTAAAATATAATAACACCGAACATAAATAATTTATATAATTATTAATAGGAATTAAATCCTTTTTTGGTACCTTGTTCCGCCAACATTTAAACGAACGATATCACCCAAACCCAAGCCCAAAGAAGTTGGTAGGAACATTATTACAATTGATTCTGACGCCAATTTTTATATCGACAATGCATGTCTTATGTTAACAATTAATAATCAAACAATTGCAAGATTGTTAGTATTTTTCATAGGTTATACTCAGTCTCTTTTCCCTAAGTGTAAATTTTCACGCTAGTACTACATGCCCCGTGATTAAGACAATACGAATTTTAAAATACTTTTTATATATTTAAATACATAACACAATTCAACATACAGGTATTAAAATTACTACAAAAATATTGATAATTGATATTATTTATTTAACAAGAGACCATAGTTGTAGCGCGCACAATTGCGCTTCTCGACTAACTTCAATAGACTAACTCTGTGATGACCTAACTTGAGATGACCTAGCTTCACCCGGGGGTATCTGGGATCCCTAAAATGATGACCCTCGAGAACAAAAGCACGTCTAGTCTTGTTGGATCTTTAGTCACAGCGTAAATGTAGCAGCTCCTTGAAGTGACTACGTATATATTTATGTATGCTTTTGTGTCATTCCTTTTAATGACGATTACAATTTGAAAGGAAATCAACAGTGATCATCACTGATTCGCATTCATGGTATGTATGTACATATATATCTTCATATAAAATCGAATTGTCCTTAAATCATTCACTGTCAAAATCACTCTCAAAAAGTACTGACAATGAGATACTTGTTACGCGGCATATCCTGTTAATTTACTAATAAATGTATTACTAATTGAAACTAATTGTAAAGTTTTTGGTAACAAGTAGATGTTAAAAGTGTTACATGTATGGCAAATTGTTTTTAAACAATGTACATGACAAACAATGTCATGACAAACATGACAGCTTTAATTAACGATTAATGTTAATTTTATTACTTAAACTTTTTATTATAATGTATTTGTGTTAATATTTGCTAAAATTTTATATGTATCTGCTGTAAATTGAATGAAAAATTCTTATACATTGTTCATAGCATAACACAGTTATATAAGCGAATAAAAAAGTTATAATATATGTATTTACATTTGTTTTAGGCTTTACGTATGATGTCAGCAATAGTGCCCAGCACCCATAATGTAATTGATTCTAATCAAAGTTATGATCATGCTACAGAAAGACAGAAACTGTTAGAAGATTTATTAGCTGCTGCAAAGAAGTGTCATATTAGATTTGGTGGGCGTACTGAATTAGCAACTGAATCAGATATATGTGTTACACAGCTGTGCCATATATTTGAATCAATTTTTGGTCATGGACTAAGAACAAATTGTATTGAAAAAATTAATTCAGCTTTAAGGTAATGAAAAATATCAATTCTGGATGAATTGAAACACACATGAACTAAGCAAATTAAATATTTTTAAATTATAAATTTCTTTTTATAAAAATATAAAAATGAATATCAGTTTTTGTGTAATATTACTTGGAATATAAAATTATTTAGATGTTCTGTACTAAAATAATATCATGTTATGATGTAGTCATCTGCATGACAATGTCTTTCTTTTTTTACTCCTTATCACCTATGTGAGATATGATAATACAGATGGATATAAAGTGACAATGCTATAGTTGTGACTAATACACTGTGATATATTCCACTGTTTATTTACACTGTTTGTATCATTACAGGCATGTCTCAGATATAGTGTCTGGTAGTAACACAAAATTGTACAATACATCAGATATGGCATTTTGGCCATGCATAAAAGAACAGTTGACATGGCATGAACAAGAACGTTTTAGTGTATTAAAAAAGGTTCACACAGATTATGGTCGGGGACGAGCATGGCTCAGAGCTGTTTTAAATGAACGTTCGTTAGAACGTCATTTACATGCTATACTCGATCCTACTATCTTATCACCTTTCTACGAAGATTGGGCATTTTTACTTGATCAAGAACGAAGTGCAATACTGCCAAATGTAGCTGCAGGTATGAAAACAATGTAATTTTATACCTTACAAACTTATCTATCAGAAATAATTAAATATTACTTCTATTAACAGGACTTGGTAGCATTTTATTTGCAATTAGGATAGATAATGAAGAACTAGATAACAATTTAACAGGAACAGATATTGAGAAACAAAAGGTGTCATTGTCTGAACCAATTATATCATCTACAATACCAGGTAGCTACATATTTTGTTTCCTATGATATCTCATAAGATCAGACAATAATTTTTTTATATGAGCATAATTAATATTTAAACTAGGATCTACTTTAAAGCAGAAACAGAGAAAAAAGGTACCAACTCATATAATTTCTTTTGATAATGAGAATGACGAGCAAGAGCGCACGGAAGTTGCAGCTTCAGTTAGCGCACCTCCAACCTGCCTTAATTCTCCTGCAGTAGCGTCAATTAAAAATTCTGAGTTACCCAGTTTAACTGGATCAGAATCCCAAGCGAAATCGGATGACACGGACATAATAATTGATAAACCAACTTCTGAATGGGAAAAATGGTATAAACACACATATGTACTGTATTATATTTTCATAACGTTTAAAAATATGTATATATAAGTGATTATAATGTGTCTTCCATATTTTAGTGAAACATTTGAGGAAGAAAAAGTATTAACTCCAGTTACAGATTCTAGTAACATGGGTGGACTTGTTCCTGTATCTCCTTTAGATCAAACCTTAGATGATATGTTAATAGCATTGCCAAATTATTCAGATGTGCGTATCATAAAATTAAACTGCATTAACTAACTCAACATAAAATAGAATCGATTTAATTTTTTCTCTTATACAGGATACATCTGAAGTTACAGAAGCTGCAATTGAAGCTACTGAACCCCTTGAAAATATAGATCTGCATACAGACGCGGATAGTCTAGATGTAAAAGCATTACAAGTAAGACTTTTAGCTATGACTGAAGTGTTAGAACAAGCTAAAGAAGATGCTATGGCCAGTAGATCGCAACTTTCTCGTTTACAAAGGCAGCATCAAAATTATCTCGAGAGACACGAATTACAAATACAAACGTTAAACAGGTAGATAATTGGAATGTTATGATTGCAACTTACATCATGAAATATGAATGTTAATTTATATTTTAACATGTTTACGATTTAATAGAGAAAACGAATTGTTAAGACAACAATTGCGTAAGTATGTAACTGCAGTACAAATGTTAAGAAGAGATTCTGATTCCACTACAGTTTCTGAAGAAGGTCCATCATTAGATTACCATGATGAGGCTCAACAATACGAAGAGAAATTAATTCAAGTCGCGGAGATGCACGCGGAATTAATGGAATTTAATGCTAGATTAACTTTACAATTGAATGAAAGGTATGATTATTATATTTTCGTTATGTAACATCTATACCTTATATTAATTATCTAAAAAAATGTATAGGAATAGATTACTTAAATTATTACAAGCTGAATTAGAATGTCTCCGCGGTCCTTTAAATGAAGATGACTTACCATCGGAACCTCCGTGTCTCATTCATATATGGATTCCATCTGCATTTCTTACCGGTCAACCTTCCGATATTCATCACGTTTATCAGGTAACCTAAATAAAATATAAATTCGTTAGATCATTGTTACAGATTTCGATAAAGCTATAAACTTAATCATAAAATTATGCTCAAGTATTATTACTTGTTATAGATATATGTACGTATTAGAGATACTGAATGGAATATCTATAGACGATATGCGCAATTTTACACACTTTACAGAGAATTAAAAAAACATGATGCAATTGTAACTACCTTCGAATTTCCACCGAAGAAGACAATAGGAAATAAGGTAACCTATTATTTTACTTTTCTTTCTTCTTCATTATTATTTTACTTTCTTTTTATTTAGGATGCTAAGTTTGTAGAAGAAAGACGACAAAAGTTACAACATTGGTTAAGACGAATTGTTGGGAGATTAGCACAGTGTTCTCCTGCATTTGCATCTAGACCATGTAGACAAACATTAATATCACTAATACCTTTCTTTGGGTAAATTATTTCATAATTTGAATTAGACACTAGATATGAAAATATTTCCGAAAATTAAAGAAATCATCTATCTTTTTAGCGATACCCTTAATACTCAGGATACGAGGAAAAATAACTCTACAAGAAATACGTTTTCTTCTTCCCCTCAATATATGGGTTTATAATTATTAACGTTTTTTATAGACAATTTGTACATACACGAAGCTTTTTTAATTTAATGTATAAAAACAATTATGTTGCTCCAGATGTGTGTGTATATATATATAGATATAAATTCAATTGTTAACAATTGAGGAAATGAGCATATGGCTGTGTGTATACAATCATAATTAACATACATCCACACATATGCTGGTTATATATGATAATGTGTATAAAAGTAATATGTAGTAAAATTAATTAAAAGTTAATCATTTTTTATAGAAGTATGTATTATTTTTTTAGAAAACATCTATGTGCAATATTGTTTGAAAAAGACTAACTCATGTTGAGAGAGAGAAAAAAAAAATTTGAACCCTATTTTGAATCTTTTGATCGGATAAAAAAATATTCTTATGTACTATATATAAATTTGTTATATATATTTTATATTTTAGAGGAAACATATTAAAAAATATTTTTTAATGTATATATTATAAAATAAAAAAATAGTTAAAAATGCATATGAAAGATAAATCGATTAATACATACGTAAACGAAAGTAAGTTAAAAAAAAAAGAAAGATTATAAACAAATGCAAAGAGTACAAAAAATGAAAGTATGTCATACTTTGTTCTTATCATTAAATTGTACAATACCGTGTTCAATCCCGTTTTCTAAAAATTTTATTCATGTAAGGCGCCTTAACAATAATATAAAAAGGTACACTTTTCCATTTATACTTTATGATAAAAATAAAAGTGCATATTGTTATTGGAACAAGTACATACAATATTATGCTGGTAAATAATACAACTAATCGCATATAAGATTCACAGGTTTAACAAGTTGCGTTAGGAGTCTCACTATGGAGAGGTAAGATAAGAGAATTTGAAGAACCAATTCTCGAAGAACATATCCGCGCGCAGATCATTGTCTGTCAAGCGTGAGACGCTTGTCAAATAATAAATATACGGAACAATGAAATTACGATTGTAAAATGTTGAATTGGTATTTTGTACTAAGCGATACAGACAGCGTGTTTTACCTTTCCATATTGAGATATAAAAGTTTCTTGTAATAGTAAAGTTTATCGAGTTTATGAATATAATTATCCTTAATACTTTGACCGCCGAGTTTGGAACCATAATGTATTCTTTTTGTTACAAAGGAACCAACAGTACATTCGTACGTTTTATTGTTATATTGTAGTTTATGTGTTAGACAATATTACGACAGGAGCATTATATTGTAGCTCGAACGAGCAACAAAATAACTGACAAATATCTTGATAAATCAATTATTTGTCGCTTTCAGAGTTCAAGTCGCTTACACTTTATTCGATAGCGCGTGTATCGAAAAGTAAGACATTGTTGTGGTGGCAGTCAATGTATTAATTGCAATTACATACGCTTAAAACGAATCTATGGAATCTATGTTTATAGCGCATCGCAATCATAGCATCATAATCATAGTAAGTTTCATAACATAACGAATACGTGATTAGATTACTTATAAAATCGATTACAAATCAGACACAGTCATTTCAAATCGATATCATACAATATATTTATTTTTTTTTATTTTGCAATAGGGAGGAAAAATAATTGCATATATCAGGCGAATGAATTCTTAATATTTCAATGAAAAAAATACAATGAATTAATTGTTTAAGAATTCACTGTATGTAGAAGAAACAGGAATACAAATCTTTATCGGAAACGTAGGAGAAACAAGAATTGAAGATTAGAAGCGAATAAAAATGTTCTCTAATTATATGAATTGTTTAAACTTTGAATATCAAATATAAATAAGATATCATAACGATAAAATACGCAAAAATAAGGCAATAATATATATATATATAATATATATATATATATATATATATATTTTTGTTTTATGTACTAAATCTTATATCTTAATTTGCTTTTATACTTTGAAATTTGATAATGCACGAAAAATACAATATATAACTTAATTATCGCTTAAAGAGTATTTTATTCCGTAGAAAATATAAGTTCATTTATACATATAACGTTTAATGAAAATTCGTCGGGATTGAGAAATTAAAATCTCAATTATGAGAAAATTAAGATACTTTACAATACTGATTACGCGGTGCTTAATCGAAAAACGATAAACTATATCCATATATTGAATTACGATTCACAGAGATGCGTGTGACCATCTATCATTTAAATTCAACATTCTATCATCAATAATAAATGATAGTTTCAAATGAACAAGAACAAACAATAATAAAATGTAAAATATGTTCAATAAAAGAAGAGAAAACAAATTTTTGATACTAATAAAATTTCAAATAAAATTTATAAATTTGGAAAATTTCGATATTAAAAATTTTTTAATCAATACTATAAGAAAAAAAAAATATATAAAAATCAACTTTTACTATGATTTTGACAATTGCATTGTGCCGTTCAGAAAAGGAGTCTAATCTCAGTTGACTATGGACAGCTCGTGTTATGGTAATTCTTTTTATACATATTTTTTTTTAAGTTCGCATTGTTCCACAAGTTTTTTTTTTCGTTCAACGAACTTTCGCGAGACGCATGAAAAGTATAGAATTCGTTGGCCTTAGTCACTACGTTCCGTACAAAGGTTTCATCGTAAACGGCTTTAAATTATTATTTACATTTACTAGCTCTCTTCGCTGACTAATTTTGATTTAGCCCTAGGACAGACTAGAGGGTGAATAGATCCTTATTTATAAATTATTGATTTTCGATGTACCGTTGCGAACCTACTAGCATGTTTATGATTTTCAGTTGTAAGATACTTTATATGTTACAGAAATTCATATTGCGCGGCCGAATTTTTTAAAATTTCAAACATAAATAAACTATTTTCACAATGTATAAAATTATATATTCAAACGTACAATACAATTTCATTTTAAAAGTATAAACTTTGCAACAATTAAATTTAATTTTGTATTTTATTGCTTAGAATAAGAAATGGTAAATAGTATTTCATATATTTGTTATAAAACAATAGGTACAAGTTTACCAAACATGTAAAACTTTCAAGATACTTTTCTTTTGTGACTTAAGATTTTGATGCACCAGAAAATTTGTATAATGCTGAGCATCTTACAAATTAAAATTATACATCAACAACTTTGCATCCTTTTATCTTGCTGTTGTGTAAAATACTACAACGATACGTCTGAACAGTCCTAGGGATAAATAAATTCGTAATTGACATAATCATTTTGCCATTCTGAAGCCTGCTCAGATTTAGATATGTAAAGAGAATGTACCGAACAGTAGTCACATAAGGATCGTTTAGTTAACGAATTATAAAGAGTACCTATATTGTTTCATAGGTAACCAGAGAAATTTGAGCCTAATTTTCTTTAACTTTAAATTTAGGTATATCCAAATAACAGGTAATCTTTAGTTTAGCAGTCTTTACACACATTCCTCTGTTTATGAAATTGACAACAAAAGCTAACAATAATGATAACACATTATGCAAGTACATGAAGGTTAAAAAGTGGAGCCTCATGAGTGTAGTCAAAAAATAATAAGGCTAGCTTTTTCTCTAAAGTAATTTTTCTTTCTCTGCTTATTTAGTAAAAGTATGAAACTTTTTATTCACTATGATTAATACAATGTGTTATGTTAAAACATTATTTTTGTCCTTTTCATTTAAGTGAAAATACGCCAACAGATGAAATATGTAATCAATAAACCTTTTTTTTCCCCGTTTTCCTTTAGAGAGAACATTCACATATTCTTACAGCAATGGGATAAATGTCATTTAGGTCCATAGCGAAAATAAATAAAAGAAAATCTTCTTAAGCTAGTAGATAGCAGATTAGTTTTGTATTGTATACTTGTTAACTAGCCAGTGCATTTTGTATATATCCTGACTCTCTCATTAACCTTCCTGTCTATTTAGCACACTTTGCCACGCATTCTAAGGCATGAACTTTCTAGTGAGCTGGATAAAAGAGAGCATAGACCAGTGTGCCAGGTACTTTATGTGTTAACATTTTTCACTGTTGTAGCTAGATACAATATAATATTAGAAAGTATATTACTATTGTATTTAAAAAACTGTTCTTCCCTGCTCTCGATCTTATATTTTATTAAGATCCTTATTTCTTGGATCATAACTATAAAATCGTTTGCAAAACGTTCTGTATTAGAAAGCAAAAAATAAATTGAACTTCTTGAGTGGCTATGTCTGCATATACTAAATAATAAGTTAAACCATCGCACGAATAACACTCGATCCGCTTATCTAGGGTGAAGAGTTTGTTCGTATGAAGATAGTTTTTCACAGTATTTGATATTCCTTTGATTATTTCTATCATAGAAACATTCAATGAAAAGGAACGTAATTGCTAAGTATGAACATATCTAAATGACTATTATATAAAATACGGTCATAAACGAATGACTGGACTAATTTCAAAATATTTCAAATACATGTATTAATATACAATTATTAATAATATAATGATCTCTAATGTTATTCGTGGATGACTTAATCAGGATTCCAATATTACAACACATGCATTCTGTCATTTGTATAGAACGCAGATTATAAAGTTTTGTTTTCACTACGATCCGCGTTTATACAAAACCCTACACGCACACCCATACTGCTGTGCCAAGTTAGGGAGCCATTTGTATGCACATCTGATACCACACTGGCTAAAGCACATATCGTCACTTATTACTTCGATCAATGTTTAATTTTACCACTCGCCATATTTTTACTCATTACATTTCCACCTTATATCATTAGGTTCATTCTATCATACATCCGTCAACCTGTCATTGCATGCTATATCGGTTGTACATATTCAGATAATAAAGTAACATAATACAAATTAAACCAAAAATTTTGTAACCCTATGGTAATGTAATTATTAAACAATAAAATATACTCTTGAGATTAACTTAAGTTCCTTAAGTTGCTTGTATGACACTGAACACTATAGTTGAACAAAGTGCTTGTTTTATTTTCAAAGTAGAAACTTATTAACTAAGAGAAATAATAATTATAAAAAAAGAAGCTATGCAAAAGTGTACATTTTGTACACGTAATACGAAATAAACTATTGTAATAATTAATTTATGCATTTATCTTACATACGCGATCTTAAAAAAGAAAAAAAGTAAAGAATGTATGTATATAATTATAGAGATATAATTCTTAAAAATAATGTACCATAGGGATACACTATTTTCGAGCTCCTCATTAATAATAATTTGCATATTTTCAGCATATAAGTAATAATACAAAACGATACAAAATTCTAACAATTATTTTGTTTCACTATGCAATCGAATTCATTTAAGTGATAAAGATCTAATGAAAACATTACAAAGGGATACCAATGTACATATTCCAGGCACATGTACCCATTTTGTATCCGTTATAATTTTGTTTTTCCCAACAAATTTAATACTCTTCGACATTTTGAATATTTATCCCTGTATACAAAACTAAAGTCGTTTAGCACATTTTAGCACTAAATTTAGAATACACAATTTTATTAGTCTTTCTCCCTGTAGAACACAATGTTCATTCCTAAATGTCGTTTTTTTTAGTTATCACAAATTATTGTTCCTCGTATTTTATTATTGTTTCAAACATTAACGGAGCTCAGATGCTTTCAATGTTTTGTATCAATGCAATTATAACTTTTTTTTTTAATTACACATTTACGATGCCCGAACGTTGGGTCACACCGGAAACAGGCTGCTTTTTTTTCGGTAACTTTTCTTTGTTGGTATATGCTTTCATATCAAAGTAAATCACTTTCTACCGATGAGGTCGTTAAAAGAAAAAATATATATATACCAATTGGGTTTATGAACATTATTCCATATGGTAAAGAGCAGGACTATGGATTTGGAGGAGGTGTAGTTGGTGTTGTATGCGATGAAGGTGATGCACTGGCAACCATTGTTGGACTGGCTGGCTGTTGTAATGGCAGGAACGCTGATCCCAAACTAGGTTTTAACTGGAATGCTACACACGGCTTTGGGCAATAATCTAGTTTGCTCAAGTCTATCATGGGTCGCCTATACATACAAATAATTGTTTCAATCATACTGAAATAATGTCTATATAATAATCTGCATTATATTTGAAGTGTAATCAAAAGTATAGTTGATTTTGATTTAATTTTAAGAAATTTAGATATTTTTTAAAGAATATAGCACTGTATGTATATATTTAATGTAGGATGAAATACTATTTCTGCAAATACAAACAAAATACACTCATGTAAACGTTATCGCACACTGCAGTTTTGGTTTACCTTTAAAAGTAATTTGACCTGTTTTTCTTTTTTAAAGAAACATGCACATAGAATTACCTGGCATCCTCTACGAATTTAAGATTGACTTTCTCACAGCCATCGGGTGGTTCTCTTGCAAGGAACCTGTTAATGTGAGGAGAGGTGCCAAGACGTCCTTCTCGATCTTGCTCAGGGGTTGAACCACGACTTCCACCTTTAAGATAATGCAGAATATCTAAATCAATAACAATATAAAAGTAATATACAAGCACACTGTTTACATCAATTTGAAAACAAATATTTTTAACTCATGCTATTAATAGCTTAAATCATTCGTGTGTTCATACGGATGAACATACATTCATGTAAATCATAAACAAATGATGCAGATGTGATAGCTGTTCACATACCAAAATTAAATCATTCAGTTTTATTAATAACATATACATATATAATAAAAAGATAAATTTAGAAATTTTTAAGAATCCTTCATAACACAAGAATAATAATGTTGATAATGTATGTACCTTAACACTTATTAGCTTATAAATTAAAATTTCTACAAAATTACTCTTTTAATTTAACAAGTTATATGTTATTTTACCATGCAACTTCCGTTTTGATCAATTATCTATTTTCATTACGTTACGAGAAATATCTATGTGTATAAATTATTACATGCAAGCAGAAACATAATAATAAAGAATATGGTAAATACATCTTAATTTATTAAAGCAATATTTCTTTACCATGTAATATTATAATATATTATGTAAATTTAATTCGAAATTGTGTAAAAAATTACCTCAAATACAACATATTGATAGTAACTGATATTTTGTCATCCTATAAAACATATACATTCCAATATTTGAAAACAAAACTCATGCACATATTTCGTATGTATTGTACATATATATACGAAAACATTTGTAAAGATATATGAAAGCCCATTAACTATTTGGGTAAAGGTGTTGAAAAAGAAAAAAAAAGGATAAATAAATTTGATTGAAGGGATCTCATGAAAAATAAAAACATTTCCGCAAATATGTGCCAACCTTGTAAGAGATCGCTAGGCGGACGGGAGGCATCCATAAGACCAGGAATCAGCGGAGACTCAGAATTCCTAGATGGAGGGCCTGTCTCAACAGGCACACACCATAGTTAGTCTGTTATTTATAGTGTTACCAGTAACCAGAAATACTTCACACACATATATGTATATATTTTTATAAGACAAATATGTGTAACTTTTATTATGTTCTCCAAATTACAAAAACTACTTTATTAAAAACATTAAGTATATAATTATTAATTTGGAGATGTTAATATTCTGATTAGGTGGTTTTCATCATTTTAAACATATAATTTGTAAAGTTCATATGTAATCTAAGAATACTAACAACTACTTTATATATTTTAACGCTATTAAATAATATTAGGTAGAATGAAAATTTACCTGAAGAATAAGAACTGGAGGGAAGGTCGGTAGCTGGTGTTTGTGTATTGACACTGCGAGTAGCCCTCAGTAGGTCCGCTAATGGTGCTCGATGCCCTTCTGGTGTTATTTGTTCGCGATATCGTGCGTACTGTAAGATCATATATTTGTATTTTCCGCATTGAACTTAAGTCTGAAATTACTACTACATAATTATAAATATAAATCGTCATTTACTTTGTCTTCCACTGGATGATCAGGATCACTACCACTGGTTGCAGATTTAAGAACTAGTCCTTCAATTTCTTGATTTAATCCTTCGATAGAGGAACGCATTGGAGGCCTCATTGGTTTCACGGGGATGTTCAAAGGACTTGCCTTTGTACTCAAACCGAATTGATTGTCTGTAAGAAATAATAAAAATATGTCACTCAACTCTATTAGCAAAAATATCTGTTGCAGAATTATATACTATTAAATAAACTTACGTGTAGACGTTTGTGAAGCAATACTAGGTAAAACAGTGTGATCTGCAGGAAAAGCTGGTGGTGGTCCACCAGGCATTATAAGCCCAAAGGCTGCTGTCCGTTCTCTACTACTAGTGCCTTCCTTATTTGTACGTTGTAATCTGTAACATATTTTAGAATAAGTGAGTAAATATGGAGATATGTTTCCCACTTTTTTCCAACAGAAGATTTCTACATACCGATGCCTGAAATACTTTTCCAGTTTTTCATCTGTGGTGGTTTGCTCTGTTGGATGACGCGTGTGTAATTTTCTTGGTTCATTGGACCATTCTTCTGTCTGTAAGGTATCAACATAATTGATTTATATATAATACCAATATGGAGATACAGAATGAAAAGAAATTTTATTATAAAATGATAAATGAACATTCATAAACTTACCTGTGTAGATTTGTCAACCAAAAGAAGACTGGAATGAATGTAATACGAATCACGGGGCCACTGTCCCTTCAAATAGATAGTATCTAATGATGCTGTCCTTCGAATATTCTGATTTCCGCTTAAACTTTCGCTGCATCTTCCACTTAATGTTTTTGATTTTGCTGTGCATAACAAAAAATTTAAATGAAGTTAAAAGTAATTAACTAAAGTTGTGTAAATGTATACCAGAACCGGACTATCAAAAATGTATTCGGTTACTGGGTGAAATAAACCAATAAATAAATGTATAAACAAAGTAAAAACTGTGTTAACTAAAAAATGAAAGAAAAGGTAAAAAACTTTTTGTGGAACCGACCTAAAGGTGTATCTTCGGTTACCAAATGAATTGGTACATTAGATTAAAATAATCATTAAATAATCATTGCTTTTTAATTCTTGTTACATATTAGTGATTCAATCTTTAGTATAATTTAATGCAATATGTACATGCTACCTTAAAATTATAAATTACTATAAAATTCAATATGCTGAATTATTTATGTGAAAACATTATGCTATTTCAAAAGAATCCATGTTCTGAAAATTGAAAGTATACTTAACATTTCAGTTATCCTTTGATTTAATTGTGATTATATTTACAATTAACTGGACACATACAATACATAGTTTATACATAACAATGTTATTTCATACTGAAAAAATTATATCATATCTCATAAAAATAACATTACAAACACTGGCAAACTACAAAAGTGACAATAATACACTTACAAATATATACAAGTGATCAAATACGTAAGGATACTATACGAAGATACAACAAACATTGAACTCGATATATTTTGACATTGAAAAAAATCTGTAGAAAAATTGTTATTAATCATGAATTCGGACGATGAGTATGGAAAAACATAAAATGACAGACACAACAAAGAAGTGAACCGAAAGATAACAGTGTGTGGTAAGGACATCGACGTATAGAGTAGCGAGCGTAAATACCTTTGTAAGAGAGGGAACCCGGGCTTCGTTGTCCCGAGGAAGAGGTCTCCGGCGAGATGCGGGCCCGCCACGCACTCGCGTTCGTCGGCGATACATTCGTAGGGCTATTACTGTTGCTCTTCCTGAGACTGCTACCCTGCCGGCCTTGTCGTAATAGCGAGCTTACGGGAAGAGTCGCGCGCATTGGGCCTTGCTTCGATGTCGAGCATGGCGAAGACTTTCGCATTCGCTGTGATCCCGACATTTTGTCATATAGGCAGCTGCCACACAGGGCCTCGATGCTGCTGCGTTTGATACACTGTTTCGAATATGTTGTATTAAGGACGGAGCGCCGCGGGCACCGTTCAGGGCACGAGGCCTCCGAGCACCCGCGACTTTGTCGCGCACACGCGGCGACAACAGCGGTAGTGCCGACAGCGAGGACAGGATTTCCAATCGTTTATAATGCTCGCCTTCTCGGTGGCGGGCGAGATCTCATCAGCGATAGTTGCAGCAACAACGGCGGTAGCGCGACGAATTCACCAACAACGACAACGGGAACGGTGGCAGCGGCGGCGCGACGACAATGCCCTACGCGTCTTGTCATTTGCAATGTTCTGCTGCTGGCTCGGCACGCACGTCACGTGATCGCCCGTCCCGGCTGGTCATTGGTGCAACGCTAGCCCGTGGAGAGTCGTACTACGCTCACCCGTGGGGGCCGCGTTCCATTCACTACCACCGTAGCACCGTACCTAGCGTCCTATTGCTTTCTCACTCTATTGTTCTTTGATTCTCTCTCTCTTCTTCGCGCTTGTACAGTGACACTCAAATTCACCCTTTCTCGATTATTTTGATGTTCGATCGAAAATATTGTTTATAACTTATTTTCGATGCTTATCTATCACTTTCTTCCCTTTACAATAGTAAGTTACCAATGGAGCTTTGTTGGAAATTACATAAATTCTTCTGGTTCTTGGTGTTTTGCACAAAATCACGTTTTAATCAAAAGTATGTTTTGTTGTACTCGGACGAACGTGCGCAACTCTGCTTATATATACCTGCACGACACACGTATAGACCAGTATGTAGCGTCTTACGTTTCACGTTATGTACGTAATGGAGGTGCACAAGCCGATGAATAGCGTGTGTGAATAACTTTCGTGTACGGAGCACGTACTAGTACAGGCGTAGTATCCGAGCTTACGTTTTTCAGCTACGGCGCGTGCACGCTACGTTCATTCGATACTCTCGCTAGGAGAAATCTCGAGCAATCGGTTGGATTCGCTACTATCGAGTTAACATTATGCGCCAGCTTAATTGATATTACCCGGTTTTTATGACTATTCAAAGTAGTTCATAATTCTTTTCTATGAACTTTTTACAGAAAAACAGGCACGTTTTCTTACAAATGATTATGTACTAATGATATGTACAAATTTTAGGAAATAATGATTAAAACTATTGAAAGTTTTGTCTCGTAAAATATTGAAGGCAAAAAAATGTATTCTTATGAATTAAACTCGTATATTTATTTACAATATATTTTACAACATACGATATAGTTTCATTACATTAATTTCTTAATCTGACTAGATTAAATAATATCAAAATTAAATAAAATAAATCAGTCAAAGCTTCCAGTATACTAAAAAATGCATGAAGAAATAAAAAGTATGCACTGATGATTACTTTAACTGTATCTAGCAATTGTAATCCTATAAACATAAGTTTATATGTATAATCTCCATAATGTTGACATTGAGTTAATAAAATAAAAATTATGAAATAGTAACATATGTATATTATACATATACATATATATACTAAATCATAATTTAGTTTCAATTACTAAATTTTTAAGTCACTTGTCATACATCTTTAGTTTAAAAATAATGTTAAAATCCACACCAGAATTTAAATGTAATTATAGGTTTGCATGGAAATTTGTTTAATAAAGGCACTGCCATGTTTTACACTAAAGGCTGAGATGATACTCTTATGATTAATTATATTTGTATTTATGTACACACATACATATTTATATGTATGTATATACATATATGAAAATGTTTTAAGTAACATTAAATCACTGCTCAAATTAGTTTACAAGGAATGCTCTGTACATTAGTTCCAAAAATAATTATCTGAAAGTTGTTATTTATTATTTGATGACAAATTTACTATTGTAGTAGTTACTAAAACTAATAATCAATTATTAATAATTTTTAATAAATTAAAGAAAAGGATACTTTATATGTGCTTTACATATGAACCAATTACTGAAAATTATATATCTTGTAATAACAATATTAATGAAAGATATAAAGTTCTACAACAATTCTGTAACTATACTATAAATCTAGAACACACTATTGTAATGTTATCATAATATTATCAAAGTGATAAGCACAACATAGTAAAGTTTGTACATAATGTACACATTTGTATAGTGCAACAATATTTTTGTTTCAATTATAATTGCTTACACTTTAACTTCACTTTAAAACAATTGAACACAACATAAATAATGTATTCTAAATTGTGTACCAGTCCCTCTTAAATAATCAGTGTTGATTACCAATGTTGGTTAAACAAAAAGATTACCCTATGGTAATAATTAAGTAAATAATGTAGTACTTTAGTAACTGAAATATTTTAAAGAAAATTACGAATATACTACGTATGTAATTACATTTATATGTGCATTAACAGTTGCATATACAATAAATGAAATGAACATTAGAATAGAAATAACTTTTCCAAAAATTAAGACATGTAATTCCAATAATTTTCCTTTCTATATTATGTCAATTAAAATTCAAAATATTATTCAAGAAAAAAGCTATGACAGAAACACAATTAAAAAAAAATAGTGAAACATAATACCTTCAAAGTGATGTCTTCCATGATTGTGTATATCATTATTTATAATAATTTATACATAAATAAATAAATATATATGTGTTGATATATATACTCATTTATTTATATAAATAAAATGTTTTATTTCAATCTGTAATACTGAAAAAATATTAGCACATATTTCTTTCTGTTGTTTTTTTTTAATCTATTCATGAGATATTCTGATACATCACTTTTTGCACTGATGAATCAAAAAGATTAACGAGTACACAATGAAAATGCAAAATGCTTTGACTGGTTATCAAATTGAAGTACTGTAACATTTATGGAATACAGCTAATAAGATATCAAAATAAAAAAATGTATTATGAGTTAAATATATTGACTTTAATT